CCCAGTTAAATATGCTGATTTAAACTAGAACATTAATCTTAATTTATGTTTGAAGAATTTTGGTAATGAAGGGATAGAGTAAAACCTATTAGTATCTCTTCCTGATTGAAAAAAATCTGTGACTGAGTTTATGTTGATACTTCCACTAGCCCCTCTCCCCACCAAAAACAACCCTCATTCATATACTGAAGTGAGGTCTGCTCTTGTATCAGGAGATACCAGAAAATTAATGTATGTATTATCCCTAGAAAGATTCACATGGGCCTGTGCTATTTTATGGGTCCCCTATGATAAAAGGAAAACCATTTAAAATACTAAGAATTTCCGATGACAGTGCATATGTGAGAATTTGGTGTCACTATACTGAGAATGTAAATGGTTCAATCATGTACAATCTGCTAGTTACCACTAAAGAATGATTAAGGTCTTTTCCTAACTCAAAATGTCTATCATTTTACGACAGTTCACACAGCAAAGACAAGGGTTTCCCGGATGCACCTTGATATATATGCTACATTGAGAAATAACCTGTTTCTTATGGAGAGATCGGGTTAGGTCAGAGATGTTCAAATCAGACACTTATGAGGACAATCTTAGAAGATAGCTGTGGAGCGATACGGTATTTCTCTCATCGGAGCATATCACTATGAGAGAACTTCCTGACTTTGAACCATGAGTAAATACCATTTCTAAAATATGGCATTGGTTTAACTGAACTTCCTAAGTTAGGGAATCAATCTTTTTATTCTTTTTGATATCAGAGGCTTCAGAAACACTAGTCACTGTCGCTCCTCACTGTCCTCTAACTGCTCTTAATTTTCCAAAAACTTTCTGTCTTCTGGCAGAAGTTTCTTTCATATGAATAAGACTTCTGCCAGGATTAATCATTTCTTAAGAGAATACCGTGAGGTATTGTTGTCAAGAGTCATGTCAGGAAACTGAAGAGTGCATCTCAGAGTGACAGTGGCTGCGTGGCCGGCCCCCAGAGGACTGTCAGCATCTGAGCTGCTTGTTAAACTCAGATGATGAGGCAGAAAGCATGCTCGAAGCAGGGTGAAATTTTGGATAACATTGCAAATGCCTGCATCCTGAAAGCTGTTATGGAAGAACTATCATTTGTAATAAGAGCACAAAAAAGATACATTGCCCATCCATTTTAACTTTGTCATATTTATTATTTTAGTGAGTTGAGTTAGCTTTGAGTTGTGACAATGATTAAAAATCCCATTGCGAGCTGTTATTGGACTCAAGTGTGAGCCAGGACTTTACTGTTATACCTTTTACACTTCTCTCTCTCACACACAGCCACGGAGAGACAAATCATAAAAGTTTCTCCAAGTGTTGAAATGGAGTGAGAGGTAGATTTAAAATACAGGGGACATAGCTTAATCTTTGAGAGATCACGAGTTGGGAAGTCTCCAGCTTTTGGCTTTTATTCTAGCCATAGCAGTGAAGCAACTGTATAGAGTCACGAACATACATACAGCCATCACCCCCAACTGTCCTCTTGTGTTACACTCGCACTGGCCCTTCCGGTCCTTACTAACAGCGCGATGACCTTTCTGACTCTTATTCCATTAGAAGCCTAGAAGTCACTTCAAGGCTGTTAGACTTTCACGATTACTCCTAGAAGAAATGTTCTTGCTTGTTCTACACGTTAAAATGTTGAAGGTCCGAGTAAACCTTTTCCAGTGACCCTTAAGGTCCTTCTGCCATCATTTAGTTGTCATCACACTGACATCTTTCCGCCTGAAATTGTGTTCCATCTGCTCTGGCGTCTCCCAGAATGTGTGCGTTCCTGGAACTTCACCCATCACAGAAACCGCTTGTTTGCAGACTCGCTTTGTTGACCCACAGGACTTGTCTGGCCTCGTGCTGTTTCTCACCCACAGTAACTCCCCAGTTCGGAAGTGTCTGCTGCACTGTCGGGCGCTGTTCTGATCAGGGAACAAGTGAACAGAGACCTGGCCTCACGCTCTGACTGTGGAGCTCGGCCAAGGGCGTGGTGGGCTCAGAGGACGGGCAGTGGCCGTCTGTTCTCCGAGAGCACAGAGTGAAAGGACAGGGCAGGGTGGCGCCGCGTGCTCCAGCGAGGGAGGGGACGGTCCCGCTGACGGCTGCGAAGTCAGGCTGCAGCGCCCTGCGTTTTTCCTCCTGTGCCGCCTCCTTCCTCGTGTCTTTATGCCGCACCTTCATCTTTCAGCTCCAAGCACTGGGGATCTTCAGGCTTCTTTTCCCAGACTCAAGCTCCGCTGCCCCACTCCATCCCTGCCCATGGTCTCTAGCTGGCCATGTACCTGTGATGCCCAAGGACAGAGCGGCCACCGGATCTTTTCTCTTCACTGCAGACTTTTGCGTGTGTGGTCTATTCTGAATTTTTGCCAGAGGTGACGGGGTCCATCACCCTGAACCTCCAAAGCAGAGGATGCAGCGCCCCCTTCTCCCCCACCTCTGCTCCCCCTGGAGCGCCCCCCCACATCACTCACTCCAGCTTCTGGTGACCCCAGGCTCAGTACTTGCTCTCTCAAACAATCGCGTGTCGCTGACCTCTTGCCCTCTCCCTCACCTTCAAGCACTTGGAGTTTCTCCCCCACGAACAGCCTAATCCAAACGTAGCATCACAGATCCTCTTAGTGTGGACTGCTGCGTAGCTTCTTAAGTAACCTCTATTCCTCCAGAGTTCTGCACGCTGTGAGTTAATACTTTTAAAATACAAACCCGATCCCATCCTGTTCAACATCTGCTGCTCTTTTAGAAAAGCCAGGGTGCTGGCTTCATCGCCACCTTGTAGGACGGGCCCCCCACCCCGCGCCTCCTTGCTCCTTCCCGCATCTCTCCCATCGGCCACTCAGTGTCCTTTCCCGGAGCCTGGACGCGCCCTCCTCAGGGCCTTTCCATTCTCCGTCTCCTCCCCGGCCCGGCCCGGCCCTCACAGGTGCGCAAAGCACCTCCCTTCGCCTGGTTCAAGCTCTGTCTCCAGGGCCCCCTCTTGGGGCGGTCTCAAGACACTCTCGCTCCTCAGCGCTTTGTGAAGTCGGACTAATTCTTATTTTTCGTTATGACCTGATGGTGTGTTACATACATTGGTTTGTTTACTAAATGGTTCGTTTTCCATTGAAGAACATTTACCATAGTTCTCTTTTTCTCACGAGTGGAGAGGGAGAGTAGGTGGTGTTTAGCATATGTATTAAGTGACTGAATAATTACATGTGTAGTTCTTCTAGGGGTTATAGTAGTGCCAGGATGCTCGTTGTTAGAGAAGGGCATACGAAATTCTGCTGATTTTGTCTTCATTATTAACAGAAGTCCTGAGGCACGGATGGATACAACATTTTCTTAAATAATTCTGTATCAGCAATGATAGCTTTTCTTTTTCTTTTTTGTACCAAGTCACTAAAGTGACTTGTCCAGCCCTAAGAAAATGATTAATCTCCATGTATTTCATGTTTTTAATTCATTTATTTTAGGATACTTCGTATACAGAATAGAACATACGCAAGTGTTATAAACCCTGTGATAAGTCTTTAATCTCAGCAGACAGGAAATAACACTTCTGTGTTATAAATAGGAAAGCGTAGAACGAGGAAGTGTCAAATTATAGTGTGAGCATTTAAATTACCTTGTTACTTCGAATTTATTATTTATTTGCTGTTGTATGGCTCCTTGTCACAAAGTGAAATCAAAATTAACTGTATACTTTTGTACTTTTTGGCAAAATGTGTCCATCAAAATGAGTGAACTCCATCTTTCAAGGAGAGTTAGCCCCATTTCAAATATCTTGTAAGAGAAACAGTTCTTCAGCCTCTGATGTTTTTTTGACATGTGAGTTTGGTGCTTCTTTTTCACCAAAGATGAACAGCAACTAGGCAAACTAAATACTCTTCTGGCAATTGAGTTAAGGCAAATCAATTCTTCTTGATACGATGGAATACAATAAGAAAACGACACTTGATGTAATTAAAATAGAAATAAATGTATTAGTCTTTTAGCCCACCTCACTTCATAAAGGCTAGGAGCTGACTTAAAAAGTTGAGAAACAAAACCGACGATGTAGTATGGGGAGGGGAAGAGAGTTTAAGAATTCAGTGAGAGCTCTCAGCCGGGAATAGTGCTTTGAATGCTTCTTGAGTATGTCAGCTCTTTGGTGAGAAATGCTTTATTGCTTTTCTACTTACATTCGCATAATCACTTTTAAGCAGAAAACCTGCATGAGTTTAAACTTGATTCTTAAAAATCTTTTTATTGAGTTATTATTTATTTGTGCTGTTGACTAACTTGTGGACTACAAATACTAATCACGAGATCACTGGGACATGCTCAGGGCAATGTACACAGAGCTTTGTTTCTTCTTTAGGAAATGATGCGACATCCATTGTGAACTGTCTCCACATTTTGGGTCAGACCTTGGATGCAAGGTAAGTGGATGTGTTCACTTCTCAGTAAATGCACACGCAGGGAAACAGATTGAAAAGGGCCCCGCACTGGTTTTGTTCTTTATGATTGTAGTGAAGACTTTAGCGTAGGGGGAAAGAAAATCTCTATAAATTTACGAATACAATGCCATCTTAATATGATTTTATACAGGTTGCTATTTAAAATTCAAGGAATTGGTGTAGCAGCTAGTAATGGATCTGAGGCTCGTATTAGAAATCATGTCACTCGTAGCAGGACGATGAGGGGTCAGAAAAAAAGCAAGTATAATAAAGTAAAACCTGAAACCAACAAACGACTATAAAGCAGAGACATTCTACAGGGTGGAGAGGGGACAGGATCAAAACTGGGGCGGAGGAGCGCACGGGGCTGTGGTGAGGGCACAGAGGGTATCTGGTGGCGGGAAGTCGACGGGTTACGGCCAAGACGGGAAAGCACACATTGTGCAAAGATTAAGAATGGTGTAAAAATATATATTAAAGTAAAAAAAACAAATAAAAAAGAAATAATGCCACAGGAGGACACAAGGGTAAGCTGTAACGCCAGAGTCTTACTCACTCCTGGGCAAGATTCTTGTGCTCCACGTTTATAAATTTAACGATAGATGCGGCATGAGTTTTACAGCTGAGGAAAGTGAATCTTAAGTTTGAAAATTAAATATCGATGTTGAGCAATTCAAAGTCTACTAACTTTCTACTGCATCTCTCTCTCGTGGCCAAGCAGCTAACGTAATCAATAGGCACAAAATCAGTTCATTTAGCGGGATCGATTGAGCCTTTAAGCCAGACATTTAATTCGTTTTCCAGGATGAATCTGAATCTAAGCTCCCAAAATGTCTCTCCAAAGAATATTCCATAATATCCCTTGATTATGCATTTTCATGATCAAAACTCTGAGATGTTCTGGAATGTAAGTGAAGAAAGGAAAGTCCACATTACACCTCCAGTTCTTAAAAGAAATAGTAGCGTCACTGCGAAGTTCAACCTTCGCAGGCTTATTTAGAAAAGACTCCCTGTGCGCTTAAAGTAGCTCTGTTACTTAGACACTGGGTTTAGGTGACATTAAATTTTTCGTTCACACTGTAATCCCCAGGAGATAGTCAACTTGTGTTGATTTTGGACTGAACTCACTACTATTAATTATAAAACAACTATTATTAAATTTCAAACCACTTATGAAGGCATAAAGCATGACCAGTGCCCTTCGCTCTGAGGTCCTGCTTGGCAATGACTGTTCAGGAAAGGTTAGGTATGAATAGTGTTACACTGCTGCAGATTCGTCACACTTAAACAGTTGGAGCATGGATTTAAAAAATGAGTTGACGGGCCCTCCCTGGTGGCACAGCGGGTGACAGCACAGCACTGAGAAGCTAAAGACGCTTCAGCACGAGTTCGATCCCCGCCCCAGAGGTGACCCAAAGGGCACAGCAGACCTCTCCTGACCCGCCTGCTGCTTCCCTCAGCAGTGTGCTTCGTCAGTCAGCCTGTTCTGTTCCCCGCTCTGTCTCTGGGGAAATCCTCTCACCCCCTGCACCTCTGGCCTGTACCCCAGCTCTGTGTGCATCAATAAATACATCTTTAAAAAAAAATGAATTGACAGCGTGACCTATGCAATGAACAGAGAGGCACAAAGGAGAAGCTGTCTCTGGTTTGGATTCACTTGCTCCTCTTGCAGGGATAAGGCCCCTTGTTTATTTTGTAGGACTGTAATGAAGACGGGCCTGGAGACCGTTAAAAGCGCACTCAGGACGTTTCTGGACAATGCTGCAGAGGACCTGGAGAAGACGCTGGAGAACCTGAAGCAGGGCCAGTTCACGCACACCCGAAGCCAGCCCAAGGGCGTCACTCAGATCATCAACTACACCACCGTGGCACTGCTGCCGGTGCTGTCGTCCTTGTTCGAGCACATCGGCCAGCATCAGTTCGGAGAAGATCTGATACGTATGTGAATCCAATACTTAGAGCTTCATTGTCTAAACAGTGCAGTTAGAAGTCGTAAAAAAAGAAAAAAAACGCGTCTGGGTGATTCAGGCATTGCGGATTTGTTAAAGTGCTTGTGCTCTTGCACAACATTATGTGTTGATGCTTGAGCCCCAGAAAGAGGGAATTGCATCTCTATTTTGGGGCTCATGGATTCACAGAAGGGACCACGAATATGTGGTGTTAGGGGACCACCCTCATCACTTAAGTGCAAGTTGTAGATTTTGTTTCTGATGTTGTCTCCTTCCATGGGGATTTTTTTCACGTGGTTTTATTATATAACAAGTGGTTTTATTATATAACAAGCAACATTAGATGTTTTCAGATCATTGAGTCAATCCACAGGCTTCACTCCCCAAAAGTAGGATGACTCCTGAGACTGTCTTCCACTAAGTTGGCTGGGGTACTAGATGACTCAAATATCTCCTGTTTATAATTCCATTCTCTTCTTCTTGAGGGATATCATCAGCTGCTTTGGGTTGGAATTCTGTAATTATTAAAAATGTCTCAAGCATTGCAAATTTGTTAAAATGCTTGTGTTTTTGCACAACATTTTGCGTTGACGTTTGATTCACAGAAAGAGGGGGTTGCATCTCTATTTTGGAGCTCATGGATTCACAGAAGGGACCACGAGTATGTGGTGTTAGGGGATCATCCTCGCGAGGATGGCAGTCCTGATTTTCTGATCTCTGGCTGCTTAGAAACATGAGTCCACACCTGAGCTCTTGTCAGTCATCTGCGTCCTGACTGACGCTCACACTCAGACTGTCAACACTGTAGGTCTCCCAGGCGAACTGCAGCCCTTAAGACCCAGCCTGTGTCACTCAGTGAATAACATCATCACTGCTCACCCGGTAGTTGTGTGAACCTGGAGGGGCATGTTTGCAGCGTTGTGCACACAGAACAGCTGGAGGCCAGGACCGTATCTCCGCTCACGTCCTGTGGTTTCCTCCAGAAATCATGGCAGAGTTAGAAATAGAGATTCCAGGTTCTTCGGCTCGTTGCCTTTTGTATATGTCTTGTAGATTTGTTTTATTTGATTATCTACTTCAAAAACTTTTAGCGTGACTAACCTAAGCCAGAGAATTTCAGAAATGATCAACATACTTTGTCCTTCCCCATTCTCATTCTTGTTCATTCAAGAACCACAGCATGATCCTTTAGAAGTCAGTTCCTTTGCATTTTGTTTGAGCAAAAGTATTTACCATTCTTTTTGCCTATTTATTTGTATTTATATTTCTTTTCCAAATGTTAACATATGTTAAAAGTGTTAAAATATGCCTTGACAGTAGCCTAAACTTTCTCACAATGTGTAAATAACAAGTGTATTTTTCAAGTGAAAACTTCTTTTTCCTTAGTGGAAGATGTCCAGGTGTCCTGTTACAGGATTTTGACTAGCTTATATGCTTTGGGAACCAGCAAAAGTATTTATGTGGAAAGGTAAGATTTTAAGAGTTTAGCTTTAATTAATGGCCATGGCAAGAGTTATGGTTATTTATTGCAAAAGCCTTTACTTAGTTGTAAACTGAACTCCAGGGTGACGTATTGACTTCCTTCGGAGTAATTAAACTCTTTATGCAGGTTAAAGTTGTGGGGTGGTAGAGAATGACGTGGGGCGATCAGTAACACGTTAAAATGTGCCATTTTCCCACTCAACAGAAAAGAGGTAGAAGCTAAGTCAGAGATAAATACATTTGTGTCGAACCACTTTCTTTTTTTAAATGAAATATGGCATGAGTCCTCAGCCAAATAAATTATGGTTAAGTAAAGTAATGTGAAAAGTTGAAGGGCATCAGAAATAGCTGAAGCAGTCACTTGCGGTGTACAATGGGAGTTCAGCTAGAATTACATCTGAATTTGGTGTTTCCTTTTGCTGTTAAATAGGAATTCAAATGTCGATTTAAAATTATTTAGCATATGTATGCAAACCAGTAATTTACTAAATATTATTTTTTAAGTGCTAATTTAAAATAAAATCTTCCTCATACATTAAAGAAGTGCCAGATTGTTTCTAGAACTGCTGCACTGTTACAACCTTTAATTTTAAATAATTAGTGGTTAGTGTTTTGCAATATAGTTAAGATCTGGCAGTTCGAGCTCTTGTTTTGGCAGTTACTCTTCTGTTGACACTAGTTTTATCTGTGTCTTTCTTGGCAAAAGTGTGAAATGATTTTGTTAGGTTCTTAAAAAATAAGTACATATATTTCAGTTAACCTTGTTGTTGAGAGAATATAAAAATAAAAGTTTGAAGATTACTGCAATATATTTGAAGAAATAAAATGACACTATACTAATAAAATCTAAATATTTAAATAAAATTCTTCTGAAAGTAAGATGGCTACTCCCATAATATCAAGACAAATTATTAGCGTGCATCTGAGATTTTGTAATGCATTCATAATTTTCAAGCAAATTATTAAAGAATTCACATGAATTATTAGTGATATAAAAGGACAAGACCAATCAGATATAAGGGGATACCTAAACTTCTTTGGAGTCCTCTTGAAACATTTTAATCTGTAACGTTCTTATATAAATTATTTCTCATTGTTTGAAAACACTCATTAAACCCATTCAAGATGCAGAATTTCAGAATTCTGAAGCCCTATCTTTAGGTAAGGAGAGCAAAACTTGAAAAATTGAAATAATGTCTCTCCAGTGACATAAGTTTAGAACGTACGGGTCTGTCTGAATCAAACTAAGTCCTTGGTGCCCTAAGTTAATTTTAACAATGAAATGTTACTGAATGTTTATTTTGTGTTCATTCTATGAAGGGTTATTTTCCCCTAGTTGATTAGACATCCTGTAATTTTTAATTAAGGTATTAGATAACCAAATCTTCATTTCAAATGTTTTATTTTGAGAAATTTAAAGCTACCTAAGAGAGTGCCTCATCTTTTCTTAGTTAGATCCTCTTATTGACATCTTAAATATTTCTATAAATTGCCGAAGGTGTTTATAATATGCTGAAATAGTTCTCCTATCAATCCACATTTGATGAACACTAATTATGCCTGTGAAACATTGAATTAAGTAGCTAACTAAGGAGAAAAAGAATTTCTACCAATGCCAGGGGAGCCTTGGGCCTAACAGTAGTTGAGTTATTCACAGTCTGATTCTTTAGTCACTTCCTTCCCTTGAAATCAATACATTAATTGTGTGTTGTCAATAATGTTTAGTATTTAGTATGCTTTGCATTTCACAGCTATCCTAAAATTGTTTGTATATGGTCAATTTTCAGAAAATTATACTTATGGTTAGTACTTCACTGAAACAATTTTATCAGTCAACTCACATGCCAAGAATTCTTCAGTAGGTCATTATGCTGAAGAAAAATAAAGAACAAAGAAAAACAAAACATTGTACAGACTTGTAGGGGTGTGTTCTTGGCAGTATTCTCTTGTGTCTCAGTTTGTATGATTTTAAATTTCTTTTTGTCTACCGTGAAATTTATCTTTTTTCTCTTTTTTGAAACAAAGGTCGACTTGCCATTCCTTTACAGTATCTTTGCTATTGACAGAGCAGGTAATGATTTGCAATATAGAAATTAGATTTGGAATTTATTTATTTGTGGCATTATTATTATCCTTCTTTCAGGTTAGCTTGCCGATTTTCATGTGATTTCTTTAGTTATTCATTGGAAGAAAAAGCAATATGAGTGTTTTCTACTTTCAGGCAACGGTCTGCATTGGGAGAATGCCTGGCTGCCTTTGCTAGTGCCTTTCCTGTAGCATTTCTGGAAACTCATCTTGACAAACACAACATTTACTCTATCTACAACACTAAATCTTCACGGGAGAGAGCAGGTAATGCAGAAGCTAGTTGAGATACAAGGCTTAATGCTACTTCCATGATATTTTAAAAATCACTCTGAGTTTTTAAAATGGTTCGTTTCATGTCGTTGTCTCTAATGCCATTTTTCTTGTGTTATTTGTTTTTTCCCCCCTCAGTTAACTATTTTATTATAATGCTGAAAATTTATGATCAAAAATATATCATGTCTTGGTCATACAATCAGGCTTTCAGTTTTACAAAGTCATGATGGAATTAGTGGAATTCCACCCCCCCATCTTTATCACTGGTAAAGTATTAAACAAGAAATCTTTGTAGCTTCTTAACTGTTACTTGGAATTTTTTTTTTTTTGGAATGTTGTATAACCCTTTTTTGTTTCTAAAAGAAAAAGTAGTAAATTTAGCCAACGTTAATGAGCCACACACAGATGAACACTTAGGAGTAAGACACAGTAATCGGCAGGTAGTGAACAAGTCACATTAATGACTCACTTGCCCCGTATGGCCTCGGCAGGTGTATGGCATTGATGCTCACTTGTTTCTGGGTTTGTACCTTTGCCTTCCCTTTTCACCAGATGCCTACATTATGGGCCAAGTTATTGTATGTGATTTGAGTAGCTTGGTCCAACTTTTATTATTAAAAAACTTAAAAGCATCAGTATAAGAAACAGTTAATAAGTTTAATTTGTTCTTGCCCTAGTTGGCACATTTCTAAGATTTCCATTGATGTACACACAGGGGTCTTCCTGCATCGTTGTTTTCCATGTGGGAGAATTTGATCATTTTCCAGGTGGATGGTTTTATTAAAAAAAATACATTATTTCCCAAATTTGATAATTTTCTAGGTAGATAGGTGCTTTACTTAATATATATATATATATAATTTATGCATACAAGAATTTGGGTGCAGCCCAGAGTTATAGGGAGCCAGAGGAAGCCCCAGAGACAGAGCGGGGAGCAGAACAGAACAGCTGGATCTACCGAAGCCCCCTGCAGAGGGGAGCAGCGGGGAGCCAGGAGGGCCTGCTGTGCCCTGGGGTCCTTCCCTGGCCGGAACCTAACTGTCGGCCCAGCAGGACAGCACTGAGTCTCAGGATCTCCTCCATCAGAGCGGCTGGATCCTTCTTCCTTTTTTCATTGTCTCCATTAGGAAAACCTTGAAACCCTTTGTTGAAGATTGCAGTGATTGGCCCTTGCAGACCCATCAGAATTATTTACTAGAAGTTAAATTAATCAAGTGAAAACCAGTCATCCCTCTAAACAGCCACTTAACGCAACTAAGAGTTCTCAAAGCCTCACCATTGTACAAGTGCTTTCTCTCAGAATATTTTTCCTGATTGATTTCCTCTAAGGGAAGTATATATATTTTTTCAACAGCTCCAAACTGTTCTAAATGTTTGGGTGAGAACAATTTGCTAGCCACAAATATATGCTGCTCTCTTAATAAAGTTGTAACTTTTTTTTAACGAGAGCGCCTGACTTTATAGTTAATTTTATCAAGTGGAGAATCTTTTAACATCTAAAGTGATGATGTGTGACCTGCTGATTTTATGTAAAAGAGGAGGAAAATATGTTGAGCAGGACTTAGCAATATTTTTCTATCTTTTTCATAATATATCTGTAAATAGTAAAACATGGTTGAGTTTCAGTTACTAATCATCTGGGTAAACATGTCTTCTAACATGTTGCCTTATTAAGCACTTGATTAGTCCTTAGTTTTGCTATGAGTCAAAAGTGAAGCAGGTGTGTATTTCATTAACTCTAATGAAACTGTAGGGAAACAGTAAGGTAATTTACCTGCTTATGTTTGCGGAACTCATCATTTGCATGGCCACGTAAATGAATTAAATTTAATCATCTCCTTCATGATTTTTTTAATCAGGTGCTTAACAAATGATTGTTTGTGATGTCACTGTGGTAGAAGGAAAAGGTATATGACAAAAGGGTGAATGGGGTGTGATTATTTTCCACAGGGTGTTTTTAGTTGCAGTGGAGAGAGGGACTAGACTGATCAATGTATGTGACAGAATTCAGAGTAGGGAACACCGGGGCAAGGAATGGTAGACACAGCTGCTAAAGTGAGGAGCTGGATGTCTACATCCTCTATGGTGTTGCAAAGTGACTTCAATAAAAAATAAAAGAAAAACAACATTGGAAACACAGAGCAATTGTAGCTAAGAACACGTCAGCTGGAAAGACTTCACAGAGTTGTGCCGAGATGTCTCTGGAAATTAGGAACACTGGCATTCTCGAGTATTGGGAGAAATGTCAAGTATGGGTAGTGGCTAGAGATTCCTTCAGGAGAGGAAAGAGCAAAGGATGAGAAAAGAAAGCAGAACACACCGGAGCGGGGTAGGCTTCTGTGTTAGCTGAGAAGTGACGGCAAGGAGATCCTCTTCCTGGCTTCAAAAAAAGAGAATAACATGAGCAGACAGTGCATCTTGGAAACTCTTCATGACAGAAATAGGGAAAACGAAAGGGTTTATCCCACCGATCAGAAGAGGATTATGCAGGTTCAGCAGAGAGGTGGCGGTGAGAGCGCTCTCTGCCGCGCTCGCAGAAGTGGCTAAGGAGACCCTAGAGGTAGAGTCAGCGGGCACGAGGTGAGGGATTCTCAGCACGGAATGTCCCCTGCTGCCCCAGCCTGGGTGACAGGTCACATCATGTCCCCACTAAGATGGCGCCTGCTCAAGAAGCAGGTTGGGGAGAAAGCTCGAGTTTAAACTTAGACCCACTGCCGTTGCTTTGGAGGTATTCAGAACTCTACAAGAGACATTTAGGAAACATGCACTTAGACAGAAGCTCATACGAATGGCCAAAACTGACCGGCAGGGCATGGAAGGCCCTGAACAGCTAGATGAGCCCAGGGGAACAGTCATCTCCATGTTCTGTCTTACTTGGTTCTCTACAAGTCCTCTTATGAGTGAAGCCATTTGATACTTTTCTTTTTCCTTCTGGCTTATTTCACAGAGCATGGCCCCTTCCAGCTCCATCCATGGTGCTGCAGATGGGGAGCAAACATTGTTTTGAAATGAACAATAATGTAAATAGATGCATAGATACAATTTAAAAAATGCTGAAAATGAAAAAATGAAGTCATCTCGGTAACTAGTGGACATAGAAACCTTCATCACTGTGGATAGCGAAGTAGCTGAAGCCTTAACGATGTAGAAGCTAGTTCAGCAAATGGCCAGGTGCTGGGGTGGGGGGAGCAACGCGGGGCAGGGGTGGAACAGAGTCCCCCCCCACCCCCCAAGACACCCTCTGAGGCGTGGGCTCACGCCAGGAGTAGGCGGACCCCGGGGCAGGGATTCCCCAGCCTCCTGCATCTGGAATCGGGAGTAGCTGGGTCCTGAGTAAGAGGCAGCGAGCAGACAGAGGCCATTCCTGGCGCTCCTGCGTGGAAGGGGTGGGCGTTCGCTCACCGCTGCGAGGGGGCGGTGAGCTCGGGACTCGGGTGAAGAGAGAGAGAGTGTTTAAATAGCAGCCAGGACGGGAGCGGAGGGGCTGTGCAGGCTTGCCGGGCTTGCAGAGCCTGGAGCCTCGTGTCGAGTGGTGGCCTGTGTTTCCTGTGGACTCTGGGGATCCAGCTGTCCCTCCGCTTCCTTTCCTCAACATGACTGATACATGTATATATTTAAAAATTTATTTGTGCATACAGAACTGGGTACAGGCCAGAGGCTCAAGGGCCGTGAGAGGCTTCACCAGAGACAGAGTGGGGAGCAGAACAGGCAGATCAACGAAGTACACTGCTGAGGGGAGCAGCGGGGGTCAGGAGAGGTCTGCCGCACCCTGTGGGTCACCTCCGGGGCAGGCGGGAATCTAACTCATGCTGAAGCTGCTTTAGCTTCTCAGTGCTGTGCCCCAGCCTGCTGCGCCCCAGCGAGGGCCCGCGACACGACTGATACCTATGTGCCCTCCCCAGCTCTCAGTCTGCCGGCTAACGTGGAAGATGTGTGTCCAAACATACCATCTTTGGAGAAGCTCATGGAGGAAATCGTCGAGCTGGCCGAGTGTGGGGTCCGCTACACACACATGCCGCACGTGATGGAGGTGGTCCTGCCCTTGCTGTGCAGCTACCTGTCGCGGTGGTGGGAGCATGGGCCCGAGAACAACCCCGAGCGGGCCGACACGTGCTGCACCGCGCTCAACTCAGAGCACATGAACACGCTGCTGGGCAACATACTGAAGATCATATACAATAACCTGGGCATCGACGAGGGAGCCTGGATGAAGAGGCTGGCAGGTAAGATGGCGCGAAACCACCGCTGCCCTCGGCTCCATGTCCAGGAAGTCTGAAACTCAAAAGACGAGGATTTTCTGACGTTACTCTGTGTTACTATTACCTTGTGGGCTGAAGTATTGTGTCTGTCATACTCAGTGTACACAGCCATGCATTTCATGCTTCAGAGTCGCACGTAGTTACTGCGGGAAACAGTGACTTTGCCACGCAGTTAGCGCTGAGCAGTAAGTGCAGTGTCCTGCTGTGACAGACCCGGAGATTCCGCAGTAAACGGCGCCGTCTCCAGTAAAGATGCTATAGATGGGGACCAGTATAAACCTGGGTTTAGAAGAACACGCTTTTGGCAGTATGCCCTAGCAGGAGTTGAGGAGGGGTTAGTCAAAGATTTAGTGAAATACTGCGTTTATGTTTATCACTGCAGAGTTACCAATAATCTGCAGCAGTTTATAGCCAACACTGGAGTATTGTTGTATCCACTCATACTGCAGACTATTCAGCCATCTGTAAACATTAAGGTCTTGACATTGTGTTATGACTTGGAAAATTACTTTTGGAAATTGAGTTGAGAAACAAATTTATTAGTAAATGTGAAAAATTATATAGAGACTATTAGTTATTAATGATGCTCTTTATTGATAAAGGCTCCAAAGAAATACACCAGTATGCTACTAATTTGTGTAGGGTGCTTCATATTTATCTTTTATACAATTCCCCAAATATACACATTACTTTTAGGGGAAAAATACTTTTTTAAAATCAAATGTAGAAGCGTTACTAACAACTCCAACTATTATTAAATAAGAGGACAATATTATATATAATCTGAGTCTCCCAATGGGGCGGTGGGGGGAGGGGGCACAATTCAGGTGAGATACCTGTGCTTAGTCTCACGTAATTTTTTGAGGTGTGATTTTGAGGGGTGAATTTCTTCTAAGTCCCCAGCCAGGGACTTATTCTTTGACTTCCTAAGTGAACGAACATCTTTTTCCAATTCTAAATTAACTTCCAGTCCTGTTTAAAAAACAAGGAAGCCTATCAAATTAATTCTGTATTCATTTTTGGACAGCAACTAGGCAATTAGATTTTGGATTAAAACAGCGACTGAGACAGGACTGAATCCCAAAAGAAGTCATGAGCTGAAGGAGAGGCAGGCTTAAATCAAGCCACAGTTATAATTACTGTCTAGCTTCATTTTAATGAATGTTTTTGCAAAGCAGAATTTTAATGTCTGTCTTCAAACAGTATTTTCCCAGCCTATTATAAATAAAGTAAAACCTCAGCTCTTGAAAACTCATTTCTTGCCATTAATGGAGAAACTCAAGAAAAAGGCAGCGATGGTGGTATCCGAGGAAGACCATCTGAAAGCCGAAGCCAGGGGGGACATGTCCGAGGCTGAGCTTCTCATTCTAGATGAGTTCACCACACTGGCCAGAGATCTCTATGCCTTCTACCCTCTCTTAATTAGATTCGTGGACTACAACAGGTACAGTGGTCAAAAGCTATTCGCAGCTCTCACTCAGTCATAATCTTGCTCGTTTCCGGTATCCGGGTTGACATTTCTTCATTTGCTCCTAACTGCTTAGCAGTGAGCTTGTTCATGGCTCTAACATTACCACATACCCGCATGCATCCTAAATGATAACAGAAAACCACCTTTGGAGCCAACCACCTCGTGCATGTAGAAACGAGCGGTTTGATGGCTCCAGTGCTTCATGCTTCTTACATGTCACAGCTGTGTCCTGAAGCCACAAAAAGTCAGGGCAGTCTGCTCACCCTCAGCTACTTGGTTTCAAGTTCGGCTCCGGGAGGGTGGTTCTGCTTAACTGCCTGGAAGGAGTACCGAGAACCCCTCTCTTATGCTGTGATCCAGGGCAAAGTGGCTGAAGGAGCCCAACCCGGAAGTGGAGGACCTGTTCCGCATGGTGGCGGACGTGTTTATCTACTGGTCCAAATCCCACGTAAGTAGGAGGCGCACACCGAGCTCCCGTTGGCTCATGCTCAGGGCTCACCGGGGGTGGGGGAGCAGTCTCCTGTGTCCTCCCAGGCCGTGGTGATGCTCAGCTGGTCCAGTTACCGCCTCGGAGGCCAGGTCTTCCCTAGAGTTGAGACAGTGATGAACCTTCTTTTGAGTTTTCTATTTTTTTTTTTCTTTTTAAAGATTTATTTACTTATGCACACAGAACTGGGCACGGGCCAGAGGTGCGGGGGTTGAGAAGCTTCACCAGAGACGGAGCGGGGAGCAGAACAGGCCGATGGACTGAAACACATTGCTGGGGGGAGCAGCGGGTGATCAGGAGGGGTCTGCTGAGCCCTGGGGTCACTCCATGGCTGGGGATGGAACTCCTGCTGCAGGAGCTGCGGTCAGCTTCCTAGTGCAGGGCTTTAATCTGTCGCATCATCAGGGAGGGCCCTGAGTTTTCTAATTTAGGATGAAAAAATTGTAGTAGTTCTATACACATCTGTTTAGGTTTGGTGCTAGCTAAAGCTTGGGGTACAGAATGGATACAGAAGGGAGGTACCTTCCCCTCTAGCCTTTCATCTCTCTTGGCATGTTACTCTACGCCTCTGAGAAATGCTGAGATAAATTCGTGTTTTTCAGTCGTAGAACACACTTGTAAAGGTATTCTTTCTCTAAATTTGTTCTATCTTCCACTTTGTTTCTCTGGAGTTTAGTTTTGTTCACATGTTAAAATAGAACTCCTGCTAGAAGCCCTATTAATAGAATGTATAAAATACATTGTTAATGAGTTTCCACTATCATATATGTTAGAAGAATAAATATGTATTTTTAAACTAATTGAAAGGGGTTTCAATCAGAAGAGAAGTTCAGCATATAATTATCTCCAGTAGCTAGCAGATTGAAGGTGAGAGAACATTTATTTTGGCCCCACACGATCTCAAAAGCTTAGAGTTTGTTAATTATAATTCTGTGGTACTTTGTAAATTGGAAACACTGAACTACTAAGAATGAAAACCTGAATCTGACTTTCATTACCTGAGGCACCCTCCCAGTTTTATTCCATCAGATTTTTATGTAAATTAGATTACTTTGAAAATTAAAAAAAAATTAAAGTAACTTAACATTTAAGATATGCTATTTGTTGACTATTTTTGAGGAGTCTGTCAAGCTTAATACCAAAAGGTATATACTAGCATATATTAAACTATACAAAAATATATAATCACACAGAAATGTGTAAAATAATGACATTTTAATGTGTGAATTTGTATCTTCACGTTAACATTCATTTTCTGTAATGTCATAGGAAATTCTTTTAGGGTATTTATATTCCCCCAGCTCAAAGCAGATGACTAGTTATCCTACATAATTCTATTTAGGAGGGTACATTCAGGACATTTCGGAAAGAAATTTTAAAATCCAGAGCCCAGAGGTAAATCATGAAGACTAAAAACAACATATACTGCTTTGAAGAACTGGGAACCTGAACGTCATCAATCACTAAAACACTAAGAAGCATCTTTAAATTTATATCTAAGGCAAACTTTGAGACAAGGTTATCATAACCAGTGGGTTTTTAGATGAATTTCTAATGCTACTTTCAAGAATAAGGGGGAAAAAAAGTAACGTGCGTTTTTGAATTTTACTGGTTTATTTAAAACACAAGTCTGCGTGTCACATATATTGTCCCTCAGATATTAACAGGTAATTGTACATGAGCAGATCATTATTACAAGTAGTAAAATTAATATGAGCTGAATGAAAATTGAGTCTTACTTTGGTTTTTTTTTTTTGCTTGCCTTCACACAAAATGTGTTATTACTCATACAGTACTGGCATCCAGGGAATTTACGATGCAGTTGTTTTATCGGGGTATTGCTCATCAGGAGTAATACGGCACATACATTATTAACATCCTCTTCAACTGGTTATTTCTACTTTCATTCTGGGTTGGCTTTCCTTACTCCCACTGCTCAAATACTTGCCTTTGCCAGTGCTTATCATGCCTAGATTAAAATTTAATAAAGTAATGTTATGGTATTTGAAAAATTAGATGAACCATCAGAATGGGAAGTTACATCATGGGTCCTTATACTCGTGGCAGGCCCTATTTACTCATGATGTAATATGTATACTTTTCCCTTGCTAAATCAGTATTTAAATATCAGTATTTGAATTGTATCCTTTGGCAGATATGTGACTTAATTCACGAAAGTTTGAACCTCAGATTTTCCATTTTTTCCATATCTAGCTCCCAGAATTGCCACCACCACCCCCACCCCAGCCAAGTACCTTCCTTGGTTATTCACCTTATGTTTGTCTGCTTTACCATTAAGTCTTACATATCACTGTAGTACTGTATAGAAACACTTGGGCCCTGTGGCAGCTCTAATTACATGCAGTTTTTGTCTGTGTGGTTTTAATTGAAATTACCTGTGTGACTTCCTAGAATTTCAAGAGAGAAGAGCAGAACTTCGTCGTACAGAATGAAATCAACAACATGTCCTTTCTGATTACCGACACCAAGTCAAAGATGTCCAAGGTATGACTGTAATCTGTCTCCCTGCCCTAAGACAGTGTCTGAATACAAATGTTGCTGATTTCTTTGAAGGTATGTAGATGGACTTTGTAGATATTGGTAATGTTGTTTGTTGACTACACATACAGTTCTAAAGATATCCAGGGTTTGTTGCAATCAAATACGCTAAGAGAGACAGGCACAGAAATGACTGTCATGATAGAAGAAGCTTGGTCACAATCCTCTAGAAACAGAAGACACAGAACACTGAGGAAGCATGCAGGGAAGCCCCAGCACCGAACATGAGAGAGTGGGGGAATGTGGGCAAGAACCTGGCTTGTGGTTTCTGTGTGAAGGAACATGGCAGGCAGGGGAAACAGATTTCTGTGGACTCTGGGGTATGTGTTGTCTTGGGGTGTCTTGTGTTAACCCCGGGGTTATTACATCAGAGGAATAGTGACCAGGATCAAGGAACTGAGTGGGAATACAGAAGCTGGATTAGCATATCTTTTGGGAGAAAGATTAATTCAGTCTAATCAGAGTCAAAGTAATTAAGGCCCTAGAGCAGGGGTCCACACAGCCCTACACAAAGATCTCTTCTCTTTTTCATGGTTTTTGTGCCAATGGTTCTCCAAGCTTATAGTCATAGCATGGCATATTTTTCAGACTAATGGAAGCACCTGTAAACTTTGATCAATAGTAACATTTACTCCCATTTGCAAGAAAAAAAAAAGGATAATAATGGATAGGAGTATCTCAATTTTAATGTTCCCCCAGCCTTGCATTTCTGAAACACATGAGTCTTTTTGCCATGTCACTGCTAACAAAAGATAAGTGACAAATGATAGTAATTTTTATGAAAATTTTAGAAATTATAGATTATTCTTTGCTTTATTGTTTTTTAAGAAGTACTTTATGTATGTGTGTGTTTTGAAATATTATAATAATTTAGTTTTCCTGGAACTAATGTCTCAAATATAAACAATAGAGTTAAGTGTGCTTGTATATTGCTTTACATTAAACAAACACCATAATGTCATTGTAGCTCAGTGTCTAGACAGAAATGAAAGTTAGTTACTGACTCGGGCAGCATTGTAAGCTGCAGTTTCATCAGTGTCATCGAAGTGCTTGCTGACCATGGATGGCATGAAAGCCAAATTAGTATGTTGTGAGTGGATGGGCCACATCGCTACCAAAAACCTGTTGTGTTAAGTCTCATGTCAAGAGTGAGTAACAGGAGGTGGCCATAAGCCTTAGACTTTGAAGCGGAAACAGACAGAGATACTCCTACATCCAGTGCTAGAATCAGAGACATGGAAGGAGCGTCATGGGCCCTGTGGTGAGATCTCACACCATCTACCTGTGACTCCACAGTGCTAAACAATCCACCCCATCACCTGAAGAGTGGCAGAAGGTGGACCGGAATGCAAGAGACATGTCACCTCTCAGCCTTGAGAGATAATTGCTATTTGCACGGAGCAGTGTTTCCATAAGGAGACTATGTAATGCATGATGGAGGCTGGAGGGGAGACCACTTTAGCATATGGTCATCTGGGCTGAGAAATCTCAGTTTGATTTAAAGCAGATGCATGTGGTTCATGAGGAACAGGTTTGACCACTGCCCTAACTGACTTCCTTATTCTGAGGAAGAATCAGGAAATAAACAAAGAAAACAGCCATATGTCTGCACTTCAGAAAATCTGATTGCTTGTAGATAGAATTACTTCATATTTACAGTATACTATATCATCCATAAATGTCAAAGATTTATTGACTTTTCAGTTTATAGATCCTTAAAATATAGAAATTTAGATTACAGTTTGATTAGTAGAAATTCATTTATCTAATGTTTCCCAAAATTGAGCCTGCAATGTTGATTTTTTTTATTATAAGCTCACTTAAACATTTATAAATGTCAGACGAAATGTACCATAAAGTCAAATGAGTTTAGCTGAAGTCAGAGGAAAGGACAACAGATGAAACATAGACTTTAAAGTAATGGTCAATTTTGTTTGCTACAACTAAATTACTGATATTGGGTAGAAATATATTTGTGTACTTTGTACCAATTTGCTTAAATTTGGTTCCACATTTGGATAATGATTTTTGTCAGTGGTTGTTTTCCTTCGAGCAAATAGCTCATTTAAAAACACGGACACACTATTTTTATGGCTAAATCAAGTTAATAGTACAGATAATTAGTCACTGTACTTTACTAAACTTTACATAATCCCTTGCAAATTTGTACACATAAAAATGGGATCCACGCTGTAAGTATGTATCATTGGGAAGTGAATGTGATTCTTACTACTGTGGTCCATATCATATGGGTGTTACATCAGGATATGCTAAATAGAGTGATAAATTTTATATTATAATTTTTATATGTCATTAACATATAAGCTACCATTACTATATGAAGACTCCTTTTACTACCTTTATTACGTGAACATGCCATTTCACGCATATTGTGATACATACTGCCTTTTGGGAGAAGCAAATAATTTATATTTAATATGTCTTATTTTGCAGTAGCTCAAAACTATAACTACATGTCATTACTATGACATTACCTTCAGGCTTTGGTTTATTGCTGTAAAGAAATTTAACACACACAATGATACGGATCGGGGATAATTATTTTAATTGTGTCATTAGAATATGCCTTCTTAATGAAAAGAAGGATGCTCACTCTTCGGTGCAAATTAGTCTGTCATTTGAGGACCTCCTGGCATGAGCATAATTTTCAGTAACCCGGAGATCCCTGCAGGACAGCACTTAGTTTTAAAATGTAAACAGAGACCTCATCCAGAGATAATCTCAAATATTTACCTAATTCTGATGGGATGGTTTGTTCGTTTCTACTACAGAAGGCTTAATACCATGGAGAGACAAGTCTTTGGACTATCTAAAAGAAAATGTAATGTATAATAGTTGCAGATGTATTGTGTGAATGTCTTACAAAATGAACATTTATCAAAACAAAAAATACTCACCCTTCATTGTTACCCTCATAAGATGGAAAACTATAAAACACACAGTATCTGTGTGACTGTGTCACATAATCCATCTATGGGTCTGAAATTGCAGTGTTCACGTTCCTTCTAAAACTACCTAAAAAACACACACCAGTGGATTCTAATGACCTGGGAATGCGAGTAGGACACAGATTAGCAAGAGATGCTAAAATGACAGAGGAAAGATACCGGTAGGATTCGAAACTAGAGGCCTGGCCATGAAGAAGGTGATACTACTCTCGCGGGTGCAAGGCCGCGCAGTGCAGAGCGTGAGCAGAGCTCTCGCAGGCCAACCTGTGTCCCTGGTCCCTAGGCAGCTGTGTCTGACCAGGAAAGGAAGAAAATGAAGCGCAAAGGGGACCGCTACTCCCTGCAGACCTCGCTCATCGTGGCCGCCTTGAAGCGCTTACTGCCCATCGGACTGAACATCTGCGCCCCTGGAGATCAAGAGCTCATTGCTCTGGCCAAAAGTCGGTTTAGCATGGTACGTTCTGTTCCTTACCCGCGGGGATGATCGTTTGATCTCAGACTCTTGAAAATGCAGGTTCTTTCGTCTCACTGCTCGATGTCAACACTTCATTTGCTTTCCATGTTTTATTAAGCAGCTCTGTACAGGCGTTGAGACTCAGACACCAAGGCCGCCTACTTTTTCTGGGGTCTACTTTTTTTATTTTTAGATTTTGTTAATCACTCTTAGGCTATATTCGGGAATGAAATGGAAAAATGCATGCAAACTACAGACAGTGGGGGGGAAGTGCATCTTTATGAACTCACATAAAATAGCAGTGAGAGGTACATTCACAAGCATGACAGGTGATTTTTCAGTCTTGGAGGCATGATGTATTGTGTGGATTGTGGTTAGACAGTTGTGGAATTTGAAATCATCATAGAATTTGCAACTCTATGCAATCTTCAAGAAATGAGTTCTTGAGATTTTTTTATGTCCAGTTTTTTTTTTCTTTTCATGGTCACAAAAATTAGGATGCAAATTTGAGGTTGTTATTTCATATTTATATATGGTGGGGAATATATTTTCCCCTCAGTAAACTGAAGTACCCCTCTGCCTATGCTCAGGATTTGACACCCTACAGTGTGAATGGAGGGAGACTGGAGCAGAGAGATCTGCGTAGATGTAGTCTTGCTGGCTATAGTCTAATGTTTGTGTCAAGGATGTGCTCTTCCTTGTCACTGGATCATGGGGGGGGGGTCACTAGCCCCCAGAATGTATGACACAGAGTTATAAAGGTGTGCTAGGTCCTATAAAGGTGTTTGTTTGAAAAAGGCTATGTCAAAAGAGATTTTAGTTAGTTCTTTGACCTGACAGTTCACGCATCGTAAGACTTCCTTGGGGTATCATTTATTTCTTGACAGAAAGACACAGAGGATGAAGTACGAGATATAATACGCAACAATATTCATTTACAAAGCAAGGTAAGCTAAATTTATTCTACAGCGCATTCAGTATCTATAAAGTAATCTCCTCTTAGAACAGTACTGCACATAATTTATTTACCAGCAAAGTGTGTAGACTTCTTTAAGAATATGGTCTTTTATTCATTGATTTATATTAATCAATACCTCGATTTTAATGGCACATGGCTCTGTTATAGATCCCTGTGTATTTAAAAAATGTGATTATAAACCATTACCTATAAAATCATGTGCAGATTTTGCAGTGTTGAATTGTGAAAGGCAAGAAAGATTACGACTGTTTTGCCTTTTCCTTTTCCTAACCATCTCCAATTGATCTTTCAATCCTATTTGAAACTTGACTTATTTAGGGGTTTTCCCCAACCACTGACGCAGCAGATTAAATTTCATGGTACCTTTTATTTGCTTTAGTTCTCATCATAATGGTGAATACTTGTTTACTGTTAGTCTCCCCAGTAGTTGACACATTATATGAGTACAGGATGCGTCTCAATCTTAATCTCTGTAGTTCTCACCCTGTGCTTTGCTCAATAAATTGTTGCACATGGATTCCACAAGTCAGTCTTCCATGGTTTACGTGACAACGTTGTTTTATCTTTTTTTTTCCCCCTACAGTTGGAAGACCCTGCTATTCGATGGCAAATGGCTCTCTACAAAGACTTACCAAACAGGCCTGAAGATACTGCAGATCCAGAGAAGACAGTAGAGAGAGTATTAGATATAGCAAATGTGCTTTTTCATCTTGAGCAGGTTAGATTTTGTGTTGATTGATTTTATTTGTGTATTTAAAATGTGTGTTAATTTAACTGTGTCCCCCAAAACACATACAAGCATATTCATTTTCAATAATATATAACTTAGGGACCTCCCTGGTGGACCTGGGGTTAAATCTCAACACTATCAAGCTGTTACCAGCTACTGTGGCACGAGTTCAATTCCCAGCCAGGGAGTGACCCACAGGGCACAGAAGACCTCTTGGTCTTGCCCACTCCCCTCAGCAGTGTGTTTCAGTGGATTCACCTGTTCTGCTCCCCACCCTGTCTCTGGTGAATCCTCTCATTCCCTGCACCCAGTTTTTATGCATAAGTGAATAAAATAAATCTTAAAAAAAAGAATATATAACTTAGAAGCACCTAACATTTAAGATTTCCAGGCTTCTAAATGATGTAACAACATATGATAGTGTATCTGGTATGATCGAGTCTTTTTCAAAGAATTTCTAAAATTACACAGGAGTCATGTCAATTTAATAGTCAATGGTTGTGTCAATGTATTATTGTTATATCATATTTATGATAATATCCTTCAATGCATAAATATTTGATTTTTTGTTACTTTCTTAAACTTTATTTTTACTAGAGATATTTTTTAGCTTTTCCCACTATCAGTAATAAATTATAATTAGAGAGCCTTTTCCCTGTTCACTACTGTATTGTTATTGCTTCAGTTCCTAATTTTGTTTGTTGACTCAGCCATACTGACAAGAATGCTGAATTCCCATAAGAACCTGCCATTTTCATTTTTGGATCTCAAAGTGGAACTTTGGTTTATTCTGGGTGATGTCGAACAACACTAACCTTCATTCTGTGTTCACCTACCATGTTAAATCTCACATGTCTTACTTTGCATAACACAATCATCAGGAAGAAAATAGAAATCAATAGTTTGTTGAGTCTCTGAGAAGAGATGACTGAAATAAGAGCTTTCAAATAATTCAAGTTGTTTCATTCAAATATTTAAGCTACCATCATCCATTAATCAATCCTCAGTGTGTTTTTTCGGGCTTTCTTACATTCATGTGTTAGTCCTTTACTGCAAAGAAGAATAAGTTTAGCTTTACTTCATTAGCTAATATAAACATTTTTTTCTTCCAGAAATCTACATATATGTACCGGAGATTTTACGGTCTGGGAAGTACAGCGTTCCATTGCTTAGATTTATTAATCAATTTAGAATTGTATTCTCATTTTTATTTTTCTTTAACACTTTTAATGACCTTTTCCTCTTAGACTTCCAGTATTGGCTAGATAAATAGCTTGCTTGCATCATTTGCTGCAGTGTTTGAGTTCTCTCTATTTAACAAGATACTTATATTTTTTAATATTTTTGCAAGATTAAATCCATTTACTACTACTAGTGATGTGTTCACGAAGTTCTGTCATCTGCTCGCTATCCCATTATATTAAGTAAGAGTAGGATTTTTCCCAAACTGTCTCCTTACTAATGTTATGAACATTTCCTGTGATAAAATTAGTTAGCGACATAAATAAGAATAGGGTGATTTTTGTGTAGGTAGAAGAAAATGTTCAAGAGTCATAAAAATGAAATTCTGAAAGGATACAGAATGATTTGCTATAGGGTGATTTCATGTAATTATTTATTTTAGAGATGACATGGCTTCTAAAGCACTCACTTGAGAAATATATTTCTACTAAAGAAAATACCTAACAATTGGAACTGTTTCGAATTTAGCACGGGGTTAACTTTTAGGAAATGTGCTTTTCCGTAATAACTTGAAAGTGCCTTGAGAATTGTAACTCCAATTGCTTTTATTCAGAAAGGTGCAGCCATTAAATTCTATATTTTGATGGTAGTTGGTAGCTTGGAGCTTAAATGCTTATATCTTTTTGTCTTTCTACCTCAGGTGGAACACCCCCAGAGGTCCAAGAAGGCCGTGTGGCACAAACTGCTTTCTAAGCAGAGGAAAAGGGCCGTGGTGGCCTGCTTCCGAATGGCTCCTTTGTATAATCTGCCAAGGTCAGGACTCTTTCTCTATGTTTATAATAGATTAAAGGGTTTTTCCCCCAGTGAGCAATCTAAGGGATGAGTCTAGCATCTGCATGAACAGGAGAGACACAGTCCAGGAGAAGGGTGAAGAAGAGGTATTGGCTGTCCTGTGTAAACTTGACTCTACTGAGTATGGTCAGAGAACGAGGCCTCCTGTCGATTGTTAAGTGAATTGTAAAGAATGAAAGAGCTGCTCGCGTGTCAGGCAGGGTAGAGCAGTTAGGCGGGAGCTCGTTCTTTGGAGTCAGACTGTCTTAGTTGGAACCCTGGATGTTTGTGACTCCAGGACATTGGTCAAGTTTCTTATCTGACTTTGATACCGGTTTTCTCAGCTCTACCATGATGTGGCCTCAGAGTTTTGTTCAGCTTAGTTAATGTTTAAGGTGGAGTGCTTAGAATTGAACCTGTCACCGTCACTGTTACTTGCTGATCATTATTTTTGGGAAAAAGCACTGCCCATCCAGCTAATTTATGGGAATCATGCAGATGCATTTGACAGACTCAACTTCCCACCTGCAGTGGCACCATGTCGGTGTGACACATGCTGTTCTCTCATATGTCCTTATTGTCCTGATTTTAATTCTTTTTTATACTGGAATCAGCTCCTTCTCTCGTCAACTTTATAGTGAATTCTGATCTTCACTGATTTTCTTTTATTTCATAGGTAACTACTTACCAGTATTCTTGGGTTTGATATTTGGATATATACTTCCGTAAAGTTCATATAATACCTTTATACCTTTAGGGCCTGTACCTAAAGTTAACTCAAACACCAGCATAATTTGGTTATTACCATCTCTCACATTACTAATCCAGGGCAATTCATGTCATAAGATCTAGCATTTAATCAGCATTTACCTACTGTGCTTTATTTAATCTTACCTTTAAAAAGTCTAAAAAACTGAAAGGCCGATGGCGATATTCTGGTTTTATAAATGTCTAAAATGAGAGTTGCAAAGTTGGGTGACTTGACCAATGTTGTAAGGCTTAGAAGTGTCGGGGCGAAGTCAGTGAGACTTTGCTTGATCCACTGTAATGCGCTCCTTCTCCAGTCAAGAGTAGAAAGTTGTTCTTATTTTATTCTTTTGGTGCACAGATAATCCAGTAGTAGAGCACTGCTGAATTCCCATTCAATTTAGTTTGCACAAAAAAACAATCTTTTGTTTGAAATGTGTTTATCTTTTAGGCATCGGGCCATCAATCTCTTCCTTCAGGGATATGAAAAATCTTGGATTGAAACAGAAGAACATTATTTTGAAGATAAACTGATAGAAGACTTAGCAGTATGTCTTAGTGGGCTTGGGTGGAATGACACTGGTATGAGTGGTCACTGTGTAACGTGGAGGGGAAAATGCTAGGCCAGCCCATTGTTCCTAGGAAGCTTTTCTCGATAGTTAGAACTTTCAGTGTTCAGGAAAATCATTATCTCTTCTTACGTCAAAGACGTCACATCAGGAAACTCAGAAGTTAAATATGAATGATACTGGTTCATTATCAACTAAACGTTGACTCTGTCATGCTTTTAAACTTTTCCTCAAAGAACTTGAAAGACCTCAGAGCTAGGGTAGACCTATAAAAGCTGAACAGCAAAGAGATGACCCACCAGAAAAGGAAAAAAGTTTCAGGTTCACAAAGCCCATGAAAAGTAGCTGGTTTTAAAGATATTCAGGGCAGAGCCTGGCAGACTGGACCCCGGAAGAGCAGGAAGTGCTGCTGGAGAGAAAGTGGCAGGCGGCACGGGGCACTGCTCCAGGCCGGCTCCTGGAAAGGCTGGTGGGATGGAGCGGAACCTTAACGGGAGCCACTGTGTTGATTTTTTTTTTTTATCCGTCATGGACCTATTCAAAAATCTGAGGAAAGCCAACTTCTCACGAAAAGCATATGAGCATATGGTTTTACAGGATTTGGCTGATATATTAGAGGTTTCATGACTCCCAAGTTCAAGAGTTCTTGTCTAGAAGTTAATTTTTCAACTCACAAATTATCAGGGAATCTGTTGGATAAATTAATCCAAATCAACATTTATACCAGATTACCCCCATATATTTTAAATGAATTCAAACTCCAGATATTAGTTATGCCATAGAAATTGAACCCACCCCCACAACGTTCAACTTTAAACCCAGGGAAAAACATCACTTATGTAAAGAAAAGATCAGTCTAAATGAGTGAGTGAAATAATGGAGACACAGGATCCGTGGAAACATTCATCAAAATGTCAGGGTTAATTAAATTTACCGTTGGTGAAACTGTTAATAATCTCATCATAGTAGAAGTCCTACCCAATAGTATACATCTTTAAAAACTTTAAAGTTTTTGGCCCGTCATTTTTGTGTAGACAGTGCTTGATGTGAACTAAATTTTGATAGCTGTGTAGTGACAGCATTTTGTTACAAATCATTGTAAATGGAGCCATCCATAAAGCTAACAATCTATATAGCAAATAGGTTTTCAGTTATTTATGGGTCTGATTATAAGAATGGAATTCAGGACTTGTAGATGGTGAAAGCCATCGTCTTCCATAGTGTTTTCGATCAAGTCATGAAATCGTTTTATTTTCAAGCTGCGTAATTTAGTGTTGGCAATTTAACGCTCAGACATACTTGTACACAGGTTCATGTATAGCCCATGACACTGTGTGCAGACAGCACAGCAGGGAGATGGCCTTCCTGTGTGTTATTCCTAGGCCTCATGCGGCTCCTAGAAGTAACTGAGCATTTCACCTAATTGTGAAAATTTATCATTTGACTCTTTTGTAGAAACCTGGCCTCAAACCTCCAGAGGAAGATGAAGGTGCTAAGAGAGTCGACCCTCTGCATCAGCTGATCCTTCTGTTTAGTCGAACGGCTTTGACAGAGAAATGGTATGGTCGGGAGAATCCCTGTGAGGCATAGGAAGACCGAATAAAGAGCCCGATGTCTGACTGTTCTGTGCGTCATGTGTCCGTATTTCAGTTCCATCCTGTTCTTGTTAGGAGAGAGAGTTGTTTAAAGAACGAGCAGTCTGGCCTATGTCTGTGGGCCAACACACATTCAATTCAGACAGTAACGTCTAACAGTGAGCGCTAGTTTTTTTTCTACCAACTTTATAATGGATTGATTTGAGCCTTTTCACAGCCTTTATAAATAAAACAAATGAGCTCAAAACAAATTTCAGTACCAGAATGTAGGGCCATTAACGGTAACCCAACATTTCCTGGGCAAACTGTCTCCATGGTGTCTCCATTGTGTCTTAGGGAAGCCATCATCTCAGTGGGAAGGTTCTCTGAGATTGAATTCAAAGGCAATCTCCATTTTCTTTCGTTTCTACAATCTTACTCATAACAGTTCAGCAAAGCCACAAAGGGCAGACCTCTGTGGAGTTGAACAAGAAGTGCAATCAGAGTGGATAATGAGTGTGCCCAGCATCTGCTCATGAGGGGGTCAGCATACACACTGCTCTGTAGATAAGACAGCTCAGAGGTTTTAAAACCTCAATCTGCTTCCCTGTCTCTGAAAGAAGCCTGCTTTGCCCCAGCAAAAGCTGGGAAATATTTTAGCTGTTGACACACGCCCCATGAGTCTTTGGTGTTGAAGAGTTCATTGTGATCTCCATGCATGCCATGATAATGTACATTTCTCTCTCTCAGCTAATGTGACCCATCTTTCTCTCACTATTTCTCTCTCTCTCATTATTTCCTAACTAACAAAATCACCTCACCCCTAAGCAGAGAGCAGCTCTCTGGCATTGTCAGGTAATGAGGTATTTCTCATAAGTGAATTTTTCTGCTGGCTGATGTTTAATTCTGTTATAACATAGCAGATGTTAGGTGTCTTTTGACGTAAACCTATCTTCACGATTTAATGGTTTCCCTACCTTTGAAAAAGTGATTAGTAAAATGTAACCTTTCTCAACTTTTAAGATTCGTGATTCTGACCAGTGCCTATTTTAAATTAGGCTTTGGCAGCATGATCTACATTCATCAAAGGTCAACTTGCACTTCTGCTGGTAAAAATTCCCACCTCACTTGAATTTGCTTTCAACTTTTCATAGTTTCAAGAAAAGAAAAGTTGTTATTTTGTGTATAAATCAGTAATCTTTTACCTTGTGAGGCTTAAAGGTTCCCTCTGTGAGTGAAGGTGGGCTTCATTTAGGATGTCTGAGATCTTGGCTTTCTGATTCTGAGATATTTCTGAATAGTTGCCTAAAATTTGTGTTTACTTTATTTGAAAATAGGCCTAGTTGTAGAAGACTAAAGGATATTTTGTTTTCATGTTTAGCTTTCCACTACAAGCTGATCGTGTTTTTCCTCTTTTCCATAGCAAACTGGAGGAAGATTTTCTATATATGGCTTATGCAGATATTATGGCAAAGGTAAATAAATATCAGCTTTGATTTTATTGTTTAATTTTAGTATTTTTCATCTAACAAATTACTGGGTTACTGGATTAAAATAAAGTATTGTTAAATCTTAAAAACTTAAGCATAGTTTCTACCTCTTTCCTCTTTTGGCATGAATCTCTCCTCTAACTTCCTTGATAGATAATCAGTTTCCCACTTTAATGTCTTATTCTTGGGGCACTCAACGATTTTACATTCATTCATGCCACAAACACTCATTATACATTAAGATATTGGAGATAATATGTTGAACAAAAAGAAATGTACGTGCTTTACTATCTGGTGGTGAAGACAAAAATCAGCCTTGATTAAAAAAACAAACCTGGTAAGTTCAGTGGTCATGGGATTATTAGGGATATTGGGGATAGGTCAGAGGGCACAGAGTGCTTCATGGAGGTTTGAAGATCCCTGAATTTTGCATGATGAGTTAACCATGCAAAAATCCTAGCAGTATTTACTGTTGTTCTGCTGCCATGTGTAGCTTGCAGCAAGAGCATGAAGGAGGGGTTGAGTGTGAAAGAGGAGACAGGGATTCTCTAAGGCTTCTGACTTGTGCATTTGGGTAGATGGTGGTTCCAGAAGCTGAGACGGAGTTGGAATGATGCAGGCCTGGAGTGCCCAGTTTGCTTGGAGGAGAGTGGCTATGCCCGGAGTCAGCAGAATGGGGGGTTGAAGCCTGTCCTAAGACGTGGATGCTACTCAGTGTCTCCGATGAGTCTCGCGGCATGTGTCAGCACTAGAGGTGTTGGGGCCTGAGGAGTGTGTCACCAGGCAGAGATGGTAGCAGGAGAAGACCTTGTGCTGAACTCTAAAGATGTGAATGTTTAAGAGATGGTTAGAAAAGGCAGGGGAAATTCGGAAATGTGAGCTTGTGTGTGAGCTCTGGGAGGAGCGTGTGCTCAACACCGTGGCATTCTGCTGAGAGGCTGAGCAGTTGGGAATGAAAGTCTCTAGGATTTATTGCATGCGACCATACTGAGAACAGTTTCAGAGAATTGTAATGTGGGTGTATTGGTGGTACAGGTGCCATGTTATAGCAAAGTAGATTCACATGTGAGGAAATATGGTGTAGACGTTTGTATCTTGAGTAGATTCATTAGGAAGCAAAGTATTTAAAGTAATAAGTATGTAACGGAAGTATAAAGTTAAGGGGCACTATTTTTGTTTGCAATTTGTTCAATATTTTTTTTAGGACTTATTTATTTATGTATACAGAACTGGGGTACAAGCCAGAGGTGTGGTGGGCGAGAGGATTCACCAGAGACAGAGCAGGGAGCAGAACAAGCAGATCAATGAAGTCCACTGCTGAGGGGAGCAGCAGGCAGATCAGGAGGGGTCTGCCACACCATGTGGGTCATCTCCGGAGTTGGGATCAAACTCGTGCTGAAGTAGCTTTAGCTTCTTAGTGCTGTGCTTTAACCCACTGTGCCACCAAAGAGGGCCCAATTTGTTGAATATTTTTAAGAGACTTAAACAGGCTTAGATCCTGGTAAGAAGGAATTAATAGAATTAGGTGCTGGGATAGTTTGTGGTGTGAGGACTTAGGTAGCTGGGACAGGGAGAAGACAGATTTTGGAGTATAAGACGCAAGTCACGGCTTTCCAGCTTAAACCATAACCCATAGTAAACCATTTTTAGAAACATTTTGGAAATATTTCTAGAAACAACCAAATGGATACCTTGAAGAACCTTCTATTATGTTTACAAAAAAAAAAAAAAAAGTTTTAGGCTATGGCTCATTAAATAGATTTCACTCCTAATTACTGAACTGAAACTCATAGTTTAAAAAACTATTGGTTTAAAAGGTGAAAAAGGAAGGCCATTTCTGCCTTGTGAAAATTGGCATGGGATGTTGAACAGAAGTAAAAATAGTATCCCCAGGCGGTATGGACAGTGACTTAGAAGATCTCCTGGTGGTGTGGACAGTGACTTAGAGGATCCGCAGGCGGTATGGACAGTGACTTAGAGGATCTCCTGGTGGTGTGGACAGTGACTTAGAGGACCCCAGGCGGTATGGACAGCCTGATTTACATAATTGCCTCTTACTCTGTAGCCGGAGCCATCTTCCTGGCTGTGTGAATCTTCTCTAGCAGCCATCAGAGTCAAATGCAAGGGCAGAGGACGTTTGAGGGAGCGCAGGGATGAAGCCATACTACTGTGCGAGGACAGTGGGAAGTGGCTGTGCATCTTGCGAGGAGCGTCGCCAGTCACTGGGCCTGGGATTCTCAATAGGAGAACCGAGGAGAAGAGGAAAGAAGGAACCGAAAAGTCAGAGGTTGGGCAGGAGCCGGTGCGCTGGTGTCCTCTGCAGCCGAAGGACCTATGGACGGGGCGCCATGCCCACGCTCCAGGTCTGAGGTCAGGGTGCCCTGTTGTGGGAGTTCACTGGTGACTGGAGCCCTGATGCCGCCATACTTGCTGCTGTTGTGGTCAGAGGTGAATCCCTTGATAGAGGGTAAAATATGTGATCATGTTTCTTTTCTCTCAAGATTTACCCTTCATAATTAAATTCTTCTACCTTTTATTGTTAAGAAAAAATAAAATAAAACAAGTCTCATGGTCCTATTCTAGCCCGTTAGTGCTCTAAGTAAGCGCACCCAGAAATCAATCAAACTCGAGTTGATCCACTTTGAGGCGGTATCTCCCTTACTCTGCCTCGGGGCCTTACACATTTACAATAGATTGTAAGATGTCATCAGTTTTTTGGTGACAAAAATCACATTTTTGTCTCCTCTTGTCAGCTTGCCCATCAACCTAAATTTCAGATAATTTAAGAATGTGTGTTGAATTTTACCTTATATGCCTGAATTTTGACAGCAGTTAAATGTTTCAAGTAGAATATCATCATTCCTCTGGAGTCAAACCATCGTCCCAAATCAAAATATTTGAAAAAAATTCATGTTTGCCACCCAGTGTTAAGTATTCCCTCCATTATGTCACCCACAAACTTAACAAAGTGTGCTTTCTTCTGTTCCTTTAAGTTGCTAGCTTTGGTAAATGACACCCGTTGTTGTGGAGGCTGTGTTCATTCACCTTGAAAATAGTCTGCAACTTTCCCTTGACCTTCAGAGTTTCTCAGAGTTGCCACCAGCTATTTCACACTCACAGATGATTGTTCTTGCTTTGACTCTTGACCCTTGAACTCAATTTAAGAAAATTATCACTTCATTGTCTTCCTTCACCATTTCAGGACCTTTTGAGGTCATCGTTTTTATCTTAATTAGGTTTTCATTTTTAAGTTTAATTATCTTTCACCAGAGGAGCACTGTAATCTTTGCTCCAGAATCATGGTACATTCTTATCACTATTAGCAGCCTACTTTTATTAGTTACTTTGTCGTTGCTAACAAAATAGTAACTGCCCACAATGAAAACCTTGATAACAACTTACATGTGATCATCCCATGAACCCGTATTCTGCCTTCCCCCACAAAGAAGGCATCTCCTTGAATCCTCTGGTGTTTCATTGGGTCTGACTACTCATTTCTCTAGGCTGGTGGTGTTTACGTATGGAATCACTTCTCTGTGGCAGTTAAGTAAGAAGCACAGCACTGAGAGTCATCCTGCACTTTTTTCTTCTTGCAGCTTCTAAGTCATGAACTTCACACTCCTTTTTCTCACTTTGCCACTATCTGAAGTCATCCTAACAAATCTCTGCATTTTTCTAGCCACATTTATACTATACCTGAGGTGATATATTTTTCCCTTTACCTTCCCTACTCTCTTCTTCCATCCGCTACCCACCTCTGTTAAGTTATTTATCAGCGAACCCCTCTGTGGCTGCCTTAGTTTCTCCTCTCTCTCCTTTCTCTGCATTGCTGCTCTGTGAAACATGCGTTTAATACGTCTCCACGGTACATTGTCACAGACCTGCGACCCCTTCTCTCTGGGAATGCCGCACTCACATTTTCATTATTCACAATGGAAAGGGTGATGTTCGGTATGTTTTATTGAATGAACAAAGGATTCTGGCAGACTGTTTACTGTTTGTAGTTGAGTAGATGAACAGTCATGCTTTGCGTGTTTACTCCTGGCCCACTTTGTCTTCACATTCTAAGTCAACGTCACACTCCCAACTCCAGTCCACAAAAAATTCTAGCCATTGAGATTTGTGAAAATTTTCTGTTTTTTTTTTTTTTTTATACTTACTCCTAAAAGGCAACCAGTTTATATACATTAATTCATGTTCTCCTCGAGAATGCTCGTATTCCTTTTTTGCTCTTCAGTATCAGGAAAAAGAGACCCAGAGAGATAAAACTCCTGCTGGGCTAAACAAATTAACAACTAATAATGGGCAGGTACTTTTTTTTCTAGAAGCAAACTCTAATTTCTTGTAGGTCATGAATTCATTGGTCATGTTTTCTAAGTTTATTGTATTTAGTGTATTCCATATATTTAGACAATGTTGATGATAAAGACATACAAATGATTTGGTATTCTATGCTGAATTCTATTGTGTTTTCTGCCTCAACATACATATTCTAATTCTGTTGACATTTTTAAATTTTTACATGTATCAGAGTTGTCATGATGAGGAAGATGATGACGGCGAAGAAGAAGTGAAGAGTTTTGAAGTAAGATGGCTCTTTCTAGATTTGTCTTTTCCACTTTAAAGCATTGTTTCATAGCTTACAAGTGACATTTCTGTTTACTGCTTCATGGCTTATTGCAGCTTATTGTGTCAAGGAACTGCATGGCAGAAGCTGAATGGACCCTTCTGAGTCCTAACATGTGCTGCAGTTAAGATCGAGGAACATAGCATAGTTACTAGTGAAGTCAAACCCATATGTTCAGCATGAGTGTTCCTGAGAACCCTCAGAGATGAGGTGGCTGGCTTCACATAGTTCTCATCTCTATAAATGTTGTGGCCTAAAGTTTCCAACAGACATGCGAGGAAATATATATTGAAGAATAACAGCAAGTATTTTAGGCAAACCCTTGGCTTGAGATTTTATGACGAATTTGAAGTCGTAACGATTTGGCCTCTCGTGTCCTCTGCCCTGCTAGGTCACTCATTCCCTGTACATATGCAGGTGATAGCCCCCCCCCCCATGCAGCCCGCTTGCTTGAGGTAGGAATGCATGTATTCCTAGGACTATGTGCTGTTTTCTGATTTTTTTTTTTCTCAAATGTGCTCAGCTTTTAAGTCTCTGTATAACAAACACTGCTCAATGTAAGTTAGCCAGGAGGAAAGTTAGTAGTATTCTCCACCCTTTGCTTAGATCACAGTTTTCTTTATTGAAAAGGAAAACTGGTTGTCCCTAACTGTCATCCTCCTTACTAATTTCTTTATTTGCTTATGTTTATTTGTTTGGAATTTTCAAAAAGGAGTTAAGTGAAAGGAATAGGTTAGATTAGACAGTCTTTTTTTTATTATTAATTTATATGTCTAGACTTTGAATTAGCAGTCTGAATATTAGTAACCAGCAGTAAATTTGTAATTCGAGTGGACCCAAAAAGGTTTTTGATGAAGCAGTCTCGGAGGGAAGGGCCCCTTTCAGCAATAATTTAATATAAGTGCACTGCAACATTGAAACCAGAGCATAAAAAATATAAAACAAACAAATTTGAGAGTAACATACGGCTCTTGCTGGCTGGAAAGAAATCCCGTAAGATGGATTTCCTATATGATATTACCTTTTCTAATGTGTATTTATTCTATTCTCCAGCCCATCTTCATTGATAAGAAATGGTAAACTAGAATGAGCTGTGAGCAGACGATAGCATTGTTTTTCTGAAGCACACACCGTTTATAGTCTCTCAGTTGTCTCTAGAGCAATTGTTTATTGCCATTTTGCTTCTTGTCCTCATCCTTCCTAAGGTCACAGGATCCCAACGCAGCAAGGTAAAACTATATATGTGTGTGTATTTGTGTGGGTCTGAGTTTCGGTTTCTTGTGACATTTACCTTTGTTAGACCCAACATCTTGGATTCTTTTGTAATAAAAGGTCTTGAAATTGTTCTAAAGTCTGTCGTTCTCATGCAAATGATCTTTTCAGCATCTTTTCCTAACACAGGTTTACTCTTCTTGCAATTTATGTGATTCATAACTTCAAGTGTTGTCCTACATGTTAACTTTGAGTGACACACTGTTTTGGGATTAAAAATTCCAACGCATTAGGTGAATAACTTAGCTAGGGAATTTTCAGTGCAGCATTCTGGCTTCACCCCTCTGGTTGGTTGGATTATTTGTCTTTTGTATTAGTCTCACTATTTGAAATGACACTGGCTTTCCCATAGTGCAAGTAATAACTTCAAGTAGTAACTAGAGTTTGTCTTCCATGATATCAGCATGTTGCTGGTTAAGAAAACTCTTTTTCTTTGAAAGAGAATTGCAGTATCAGAAATTGAGTCAAGTTTAGTGACAATCAAAAAAATGCCAGATTCAGAAAAGAAGCCTGGGAATGACCAATAGTGAATCTTTGCATTGGGAATCTAGGATTCAGGTCAGATTGAAAATAGGAAATCAAGCAAGGTGCAGAGGCTAGACCGCTGAGAATAGCGGCGAGAAGTTCATATGGCGGTGAGATCTCGCAGCTAGCCCCAGTGCAGGAATGCAGACTGGCATGTGTAACTCTACCTGCAGGAGACAGGCGTTTAAAGGTCCATTAGTTGTAGTGTAACTTAATAGACAGGATTTGGAAATTTTCACTTCTGAACCAGATGTTTCCAGCATCTTCATATGATTTGGGACTATTGTTATTTGTGCCTAATTTTGTAGTATGTGACTGTTTGAAGCATTTATAGGCCTTTGTAAGTAATGTGAACTCTTAAGAAGTTGAAAACTGTTATTTGCAGTCTATCGTTGACTCTAATACACTCCCCCCCAAAAAAAATCACTGAAAAATGTGATACGGAACTGGATTGTTATTTTCTCTTGACCATTTTAGCAATGTACCAGACTTTTTAGACTGAGATGTCTGATTGTTTAATATCATTTAGATACAGTCTAATGATGGGATTTTTCATCAACTTATCATGAATCTGAAAGATTATTTGATTGTTTCAATAATTATTAAAATGCATTATGTTAAATAAGTTGGTGACTGTGAGTGCCAAATAATACAATTGAATTTTACCCTTGTGACTGATTATTAATATTTTCTGTAATTTCTGCTAACATGCTGTATCTGTATTCAGCAAAGATATTGAGAAGAAGAAAAAAAGTAGGCATTACCACGGTAGCATTGTAAGGAAGATTTTCATGGCAAATAAAGTGAAAATTAGCAACGTGACTTATTGATAGATTTAGTGCATATTTAGTATAATATTTGACTTTATTAGATTTGAGTGTTCTTCAGTATTAAAGCTATAAAAAAGAATAGTTCACTTTAATACAGCAGTCAGTATTCGTTGAAAAGTAATAAACATTTTAACAGGTGTTTTAATGCTATGTACTGCATTTATCTAGCTTTGCCTGTTTTTATAAGCCAAAGGAAATGATAATGGCAACAAATAATGTTTCAAGTCAAATAACTAGTTTTGTGAGCATGATTTTTAGCCTAGATCAAAGCAAAGCTTTGGCAGTAAAGTAGATCATGTTGACTATGGTTTTGTGGGATACCCAGGTGTGTTCTCCAGACGGTTGCTTTTTCTATTGCTCTTCTCTAAAATCTGAGGATAGTACATTAAAGGTTTCAATGAAGAGTTTCTATAAAATATTAAGGAACTATAACATAGATTTATTACTGAAAATTTGAATTTATGACAGGTAATTTAAGTGAGAGAAAAATGAAGCACTAACTTGTCTGATAAATTGTCTTTCTGAGAGCTACAGGTTGTGTTATACTTGGCAAATACCCACTTTCTAATTCACAGCTGTGTTCTCTAAAGGGTCTCTTAAGGCCCCGTTATTTTGCATATTGATTAAAGAACATTTCTCTCTGTCTTCAGTACTGAATACGCCTATAGTGAGCTGATGTTCTGTCATAAAAGCTTAGAAGCCTGACTTACCAGTTCTCCCAGACAGCCTCAGGCTTAGTGAAATGGCCTAGAACAGAGCACAGTGCTCAGATAAGCCAGTACCCAATTGTTACAAGCATGCATCACTCAGCGTGCAAAAAGCAAGCTAGGTCCAGAATGGCTTAAGGACTGATGTTTAATCAGTGGCAAAAGCACTTTGTCTGGTCCTCCAACCTAATTTTGAGCAACATTCTATTTTTTGGTAACTCTGCAATGTTGAAGTGGCAGCAAGAAGTAGCCTCTCTAACAGCTACATAATTTGATCTTTGAATGGGCTTGCTAGTTGTGTTCAGAGGAATACAGTTATAAATTACAATGGCTCCATGACTCATACCAAAGTGTATGTTTAAATATAAAATTTTGAAGGTATAACTATGATGTACACTGTTGAAACAATGACCCATTTCATCAAAAAAAAAAAAAAATCGCAGTTCTTTACTTCCTAGTACAGAACTTCTCCAGCATCTGCTATGCTGACTGCCTTGTTAAATTACGGAACTGACAGCAGAAAGGAGGAAGGACTTGTGACAGCTGATGCTCTCCAGTACTACACCTGTTTCTGCAATCTGCCAACTGTGCTTTTATGTACTAAAATTGTTGATCTGAAGGAATGCCTTTATATCGAAACCTAGGTTCCCTGAAAAACAGAGCACAGAAAGTAGGTGCGAACGCTCTCCTGGGGATGTTAGAATGCCAGGGAGGTCAGCATGATGGAAGCGGTGACGCGGGCAGAGAGAGTACAGGGCAGCGCACCCCGCACTGATGGCGGCTCTCGGTGATGTAGCTCACGGCCATGTTCGTGCCTCCAGAGAAGCCGTGTCCACGCAGCAAAGCCCTGTATGAGTTTATAGACCTAAAATAGAGCAAACACACTTGAACATGTAATGGCTCACTTTTAAAGTGTGCAATAATTTCACTTCTAGTGTGCAATTTAACATACCATTCTGTTTGGAAGTTTATGTGTGACCACCTTGGGCAGACTGAATGGAACATGGCAGAAGCATCCAAAGCCCACTCAGATGGATCCCGTGTCTGAATCCAAGTTTACTCCCTAGCTGGGTGATTTTTAAACCTCAGTTTCCTTGCTATAAAATGTGACTAATGATAGCATTTACATCACGTAATATACATAGAATTTTAGAACATTGTCTAGTGCATAGAAAACTATATGCATTTTATACTACTATTAGTTGATTTAATCTTTAACTATCCTGTTAAAGCCAAGTCTGCAACCCTCACAGACATTTCCTTAGGGTGAGCACAGAGCTACACAGACACACCCAAGTGCTACCTGCATGACCTCAGCGGGTGGCGTTTCGTTTCTGTGTGCCTCAGCTTTTTCTTCTCTGAACTTAAGGCTTTGAAGTAGATGTCCTCGGGGCATTGTGGCCACCTGTAAATCACCTGGTTTGCTGCTGTAAGTTCTTTCCACTTGCCAGGGCATCTTCTTAATTCTTTAAATATTGATAGAAACCAACACATTTTCATTACTTCTGTGAAAGAGCAAGTATATATATATATAAACCCCAGCCAGAATCTAGAAACCCACCAGGCCAGAATCTAGAGCTCCAGGTTAGAATCTAGAGCCCCAGGCTAGAATCTAGAACCCTAGGCTAGAACTTAGAACCCCCAGGCTAGAATCTAGAACCCCCAGGCCAGAATTTGGAACCCCCAGGCCAGAATTTGGAACCCCAGGCTAGAAGCTTGCCAATTTGTTGCGTCTCTCAGCACTTCTGATTCCAAATTTTCTAGGAGTCCCATGTAGCTGTTTACTGTGTTGATAAAATCTGTTTGTGAGAAACAGATTCTAAGGCCAGAGTCTGTAAAGACTACAACAGATAATTTGTTGAAAAGGCCCCAGTAATTTAGCAGTAGCAATCACGTAAGTGGCTACCCAGGCGTCCTGTGAGGGTGGCTTAGTACAGGAGGGGTCGAGGAGAGTGAAGGACTAGCTAGTCACAAGTGAGTGTCCAGGAAAGGCCTTCTTCAGTCACAGGTGCCTTTGGCAGAGAATTGAAGACTCTGTCAAATGTTCAGAGTACAGCTGATTGGCAATAGCTGATTTAGGGTTGGATTAACAATCATTTGTACAGCTCAGAATTGTAGGCACGAGAACTGCTATACTTGCTCAAAATGCAAGTGAGGTCCGTTCTCTGATAAGTGTATTCTGGTATCTCTTAACGATCACTGCAGCATTTGGGACCTCTGTGATGCAGCCTGATGCTGTCCGCCTTATTACAGCCATCAGCCACCTCACTTTTCTTACTCTGTCTTTTGCGACTGTGTTGGTAACACTCACTTTCTGCTCAAGGCAGCATCTTCTACCTTTACAGCGTACACAGAGAGGTGAATGAGGCTCTTTTAACCAATTTGGTGCTTAGGGTAAACCACCTCTCCCTCAAAATAAACCAACCTAATTCCGCCAGCCTGACCCCCTGATTTTAGAGTTACACTTTCTTCCCTCTCATCGTATGCCTTGCTTGAGGACTTGTTCTTTTCTGTTTTTAACGGGATTGCATATGAGACACAGGAAGAGGCTGACCTTGTTTAGCAGCACATCCCAGCTTCAGAACCTCCAGCAGCTGTCTGGACTACATTTTTCTGTTTTAGTGTTTTTAATATCTTAGGAAAAAAATCAACATTTAAACACTCACCTGTTTGAGAATCAGAACTATGGAAGATTATTATTTGATAGCTCAGCAAACAAAGACAACAGATGCAAAGGAAAGGGACAGACAGAAGAGCTTAAAAACTGCAATTCGAGAATTGGTACTAATTTGTGTAGAAGCTTAGAACTAAGAAGTAAGCTAAATTAACTTTTCCTCTTTTACTAGCTTAGTCGCTCTTCAAGTGAAAAGATGTCTGTAAAATTTCCGTTGATCATTCATACTTTATGATGTCACGTTTCTGTCGCTCACAGTTTCGTGAACACCTGATACGCAGGGGATGCTACTGGGTATACACTGCATGTGTTACTGGTGTTGCTGTCACACAGACAAAACAAGCTACAGCTGCTATCCTCCAGGAGCTTACTCTTAGGAAATTTTATACACATTTAAATTTTTGTAACTTAATGTACATTTTCAAAATTTTCAGAACTACTCACTTCTAATGTATTATCCTCTTTAAGTGTTTCCCTAGAACTGAGAGTCGACTCCTTATGAGTATGGCCAACCTATCGTTTCAAAAGCTGAAACACAGACTTGTAGGCAGAGGATGTGACTTCTAGATTTTTGTTCTAGTTGGCCTGTTGGTGTCATTCATGTCATTCAGTGCCTTTCAGCTTTGACCTTAGTTATCCAGTTGAATCGTCCATACTTAAATCTTGTTTTCCGTAATACTGAGATGCGGTATCAGCGTGTGTTATGTGTGATGACATTTCAGATGACACAGAAGACTATGTAGTGCTGGCTGATAACATTAATTGTGGTAATTTTGTTTTTGGAAGAGTTTAGCTCATGGGCATTTCTATGCACTTGTAACTAGCAACACATGCAGTTTAAGAGGAAAACACTAGGGAAACTGGAGGTTTGGAAATGCAAAAAGAAAAAGCAAGGCTGCTGGGTTGAGCTGAATCATGCCTATGGCAGCTTTGGCTGTGGAGTCCGTGTTTGAGTGTCCGTGTTGCTGAGGAAGGTCCTTCGGACATGATGCGAACCACCTCGCTGCCTTTAGGCTACCCCAAGCTTTATCCTTATTTCAGTAGTTGTTCTTGTATAGGGCTTGTTTTTGAAAATTGAATGTGTTTTTTTCTTCAGGCCTTTCTGCTTTTCCCTAGATGAAGGGCTAAAACCTAATTTAGACAAAATGGTTCTAGTGTTTTCAGAAACTTCAGTGACACTAAATCAAGTCCTGATGATGAATACTTCCAGTCACCTTTGATTTGGATGTGGGTCTGATTTATGTTCACACTTGACCTTGAAAAGACTCATACTAATCTTATTACAGTAACAGTAACTCTTGTTTGCTTTTAGCAGTCAGCACTTACATTGTCCAAGAGAAAATCCAAATTGTGAAACTGCTCTTCCCTCTTACCCCTGACTCTTAAGGCTTCCTTGGAATAACTTAAAGACTAAAGTGCACGTTGAAGGTGTAAAGTTTCCTCAAGACACTGTGGCCATTTAGGCGAATCTGAGATAGAGAAGGGCCCCATGCTTTTAAAATAGCTACTTTCAAAATGCTACTTCCCTTAGTACTAAGATACTTTTGAAAGATCTGCCTCCAGTTTACTGAGAAAACCTAATCTGAAGTAAACTTGAAATGAAATATTTTTCTTCCTTTCCATGTAATCTATCATTTTATTGTCTGGAAACTTTCTGGCCTAGCTTTCACAGTTTTATTTCTTTATGTTGTGATGAAATTTCCAGTGACAAGATTAAGTTGCAAACCCAGAAGCAGCTCTCAGAGGACAAAGTGCCTGAAAGAAATAATATGAAAGATCTTTGGAAGAGAGAGCTTCCTCCTCAGTCTAACAGAGGACATTCAAGAGCGAAGTCAGCCTGAAGCGTCTTTAGGAAGTCTAATTTCTCCTGCTCCCTGATCAGTGTACCTTTTGTAGTGCAATTATTTGTTTTTCAAAAAGGCTTATCATCTTTCAGAAAGATGTATTACTATTGAAATTTAGAGATTCTGGAAGGAAAATGAGCATGACCTTTGCCCAGGGCGTTTGTTTCTTAAAGAAGGAATTTGATGTCCTGACCACTTTTTGTTCTGCTGGTATCCGGTCCATCAAGCATGATTTTAGTTACAGATGAAGAGAGCTCGGGGACCTTGGCCCTACTGAGCTCGTTTTCCTGGTAACCTTTGACCTGGCCTGCTTACGTTGGGAGCAGAAAGGGCAAAGTTGTTGTTGTTTTTTCCTGCCTTCCTCAAGAATACACGGCATGGAGCTTCCTACTCCTATTTGGGTTTCCTGCTGACTGCCTGTCTGTGTTCCGTTGGTTCCACGGAAGAATTGCTCTTCCTCTCTTGCCTCTTTAGTTGATGAAACTGCTAGGCCAGTTCCTTCAGCGATAATCTCTTATCATTTTCTTCTGGAAAATTCTTTCACAAGAGCTGGTTAAACTGAGAAGTGGGGGCTCCCGCTATCCCTGACAGTGGGAGGAAGGCCAAAGATTGTTGGGTCTACAAGGAAGAATCAGATGTTGCGCACCAGTGTCAAAGAACAGCTGAAGAGCAGACGGAAGGGTCTCCTTCCAGTTTCCCCGAACCCATGTCGTAATGACAATATGGTTGTGTGTGTCTGTGTGGTTTTGTTTCGTTTTGTTTTTCACTTCACAGGAAGAGGTTTAAACATGAAGGCAAACCTTTTAGATGTCAGCATGGCTACATATAAAGCAAAGCTGCCTTTTCTTTTTCTTTTCTCTGCTTCCATTTAGGCCTATCACATAATTTAAGAACAAATAAAAATCTAACCACAGGAGCTCTAACTGTAGTGTGAAAAAAAACCCTGATCAATTTTGTTTTTGCAGCACGATATTATCAAAGATTTAAGAAACAAATTTGCCAGCCTCGGCGAGAACTCTCTGGTAACAGCATAAATGTCTGTGTTGGTTGCTTTTGATTTAAAGGTTTCTTTTTTCATTTGTTTGAGCCCATTTCTTCGCCCCCTTCTTTGAGTTCACTTTATTTGTCATATTCTGTAACTAGCAAGCCTTCATTTTTTAAACCTCTTCCATCATCCAGTGTCTATTTTCCGTATTTGGATGGAAAGTTTATGGCAGCAAAGCTGTCACTCTGGCTCCTTCTGCTGCAGCTCCTCCTGCTCTTAGGTCATATATGCTTGGCCGTTGTGTTTATGGACATGACACTAAGTGACTGTCTCATGTCCCATTGACCAAGCTTCTCTCCCACGCCATTTGACAGACTCGCTGTCATAGGGCTCTATGCAACTCTCATTCTGCAACTTATACTGCTTAGTTCTGTCTCAATTCCCCAGCGAACTGGGTCGCTCAAGCGAATGGTCCTACCAATCTTGAACTTGCTGTGCCGTGCCTTTATATTTTATTTGGATGCTCTTCTTTATGTTTCCAGTGGTAGCTTAAGTGGAAAAGAACAATCTCCAGCCATTGCTCTAGCAGCCCCATGCAGTATCGTTTGTTACCACCAGAGAATACAAAATATAAAGGCACATCGCTTCTTTTATTCTTTGGGGGTGACTGAGGAGACCTGTGCTATAAGTCACTACTTAGTTGAAGCCGACTTTTTTTTTTAATCCATATCAGCTTTCAACTTTGCTTAAACCTCACCACGTCTCAGTTAATATTTTTCTGTCATTCAGTGATAACTTGCAACTGGAGCCATTTGCTGAGCAGTATCAAGTTATGGCCATGACATAGGAGATTATCAAAAACGTGACAAACTTATGCACAAATATATCGTTCAGAAAGTGCAAGTTTCAAAGATGAAGTATAGTACTTCAAAACGATGATACAGGCTTTGGACGAATCAACTAATTACAATTGAGAAATTCATCCTGATAAACTAGTACCAAAAGTCTAAAGGGAAAACCAAGAGTTGATTTTGTTAACATCTGTTGAATAACATTGTTGGTGTTGAAATGGTCCATAATGTTGCCATAGAGCCCGTACATGAAGAGATGACTAAAAGTATGGTTTATTAAAAATTGTTCTGCCTGTTGATAGCCACAACATAAATGGTTGGGATTTGTGTTCAGGAAAAAGAAATGGAAAAGCAAAAGCTTCTGTACCAGCAAGCCCGGCTTCACGACCGAGGAGCCGCTGAGATGGTGCTGCAGACCATCAGCGCCAGCAAAGGTGAGGCCCCTTCCCCACCGGGCCCTAGGGCTCCTCCATGTCTCCTGTCTCGCTAGGCCTCCCCTCCTCAAAGTCTACTCGTTTACTTAGCCCCTGAATTTCTTGTGGTAACTAGATCAGCTGACTCTGCAAATGAGAGCTCTCATCGACCACATCCAGTGCCGACGTTTTTCAGTCTTGCTAAGATTTATTTAACCTCTGTTCTTTGTCGGGAGAGGTGACGCAACCCTAGCAAGCCGGTCATATGAATCAGGGGAGCACGCAGGTTTAATGTGTGAAACCGAACAGTAGTATTTCAGGCCATCTCTTAGAGCCTTCACCTTGTAACTCTCCCACTCTGCCGTGGTGACCTGAAAGCAGCTGGGATAGTGATTCCACGGTGAGACTATGTGCAACAACAGGTGACAGGCTGGACCAAGTCCCCAGGCCATAGTTTGCACATCTTTAATAGGTTTAGGTTTTTTAGGAGAATCTCGTTAACAACGTTAGTATTAGATCTCGCCAAAGGTAGCTATTCCAAGGTGACTGTTTCCCATGAATAACTTATTTGTATTAAAAGAAATATCCAAGAATATATATTAAATATATTTTAAATTTAATTTTTGTAATGAAAAAGTAATGCTGTACTTTATTATTAAAAACTCTCTCCTATGGGGCTTATTTCTATTTCTACAATAAGCAGAGGTGAATAGTGCTAAAACACTAACAATGAGTTGTATTTTTAATTTTGTCATTATTATTTGGATACATTAAAACTGACTAGCCATCCAACTAAAGCAAGACAATACCACGTGGTAAAATACAAGTGAGAAATTGAAAACAGTGGGAGCTGTTCAATTGTAACACTGTTGAGGGAGGAGGGAAATACTTTTTCCTTAAAGAAAATTTTATATAGCTCACTGTCACTCAAATGTTAAATATATGTATGATTATTTTTGAATCTTAATTTCAGTGCTCAGCCTTTTAAACTCATTTTCTTCTTATTCTTTCTTCTGTGTACTCATGCAATTTTAAAGGGCAGCTCTATCAAAGGAAATTTAGTAAAAACATTGATGGCGATAGATTCCCTGTGACTCCTGGGATTTTTGGGTCTATAAGTCAGTCTGTCCCCTTCCACAGTTCTACAGGGTGATGGTTTGAGTAGGACATAATTTGAGGTGGGATGGCTTGATACAGCAGGAGAAATAATCTTTGGAACGCTTTTTTCTATTTCAAGGTGACACTGGACCAATGGTAGCTGCGACTTTGAAACTTGGAATCGCCATCTTAAACGGCGGTAACTCCACAGTACAGCAGGTGACGCCCTTCCACCACTCACCTGCCGTTCTCACGCCAGTGGCCCTCTTACTCTGCTGTTGACCTGCTTATGGATCCTAAAAAGAAATCTGAGTTATAAGTTGTTTTTCTTTTCTATGTAAAATGTATCATACACACACAACACACACACACATTTCATTTTACACATTTTTTTTCATCTCCATTATAATCCCCTCCTACACTGCTGATGAAAATGTATCTTTATTTTATTATCATGTCATTTCAATAACCAAAATCCTCTAGCTGCCACACCAAACTCCCAGGGCGAGCACTAACTCTCTTTGGAAGTCTGACATGTCATATGTGTTGTCATTTGGAATCCAGTTTTGCATGTGATTAAAAAAAACAAATATTCTTAGCTGCACAACCTAGTAAGTTGACATGTGTGACAGCGTTTTCCCTCTATGAATCAATTGTCAGAATTTTGTCATATCTTCGGCAGGAAACATGTGGCTGAGTGAAAGATAAACAGAATGCACTGTTAAGAACTTTAGTTGTATTTTTTCTCGTTTCCCAAAACATGATAAAAATCACTTCCCAGCCAAGTGTAGTAACGATGTCCTATTTAAAATATAGACATGTCCTAGGCTGGGATTTTAACCCAGTTACAAAAGAAAGAAAGAGAGGACGTAGCCTCTCTTCGAACAGAAGGCCAAGATCTATGACATTGTTAGAATGAATGTGTTTGCATGACTTTAAAAATCTGTCAGAAGCAGACTGACCCAGGTTGTGTGTTGCACACTGCTGGAGACACCATTTGTGGGGTCTGCAGCGCAACCTTGAGCTCACAGAAAAGTATGCTAATTGAGAAAGAACCTAATAGCAGATGGCGTAGCTCTACAGCTTGGCCTGACTTTTATATGTCCATCATGCATTGGCATCTTTTGCCAAAGTAATACATGTTTCTTTATGAGCTCATTAAATAATAGATCTAGTTCTTTATCTAATATGGTTACTGAGAAGAACTGACGAGTCTAAATACTATAAATAGCTGCAACAATTATAATGTGAGATTAAAATATCTAGAGTCTTCGCTGATAACAAGCTAACAGCCCCTGATTATCCTACTTGTATTTGCTGCTTAGATTAATAGTTTAAAGGAATGCTAAGTTTCAGTTAGGAAATTCATAACAATAAATGTCCTTTTTGATTTCCATAGTGGGCACCTAATGACTTAAAAGAAGGAAAAAAAGAGAGAGAGAGAGAGAGAGAGAGAGAGAGAGAGAGAAAACCTGCCTCATTTTTCCACTGTATTTATCAAATAGTAATTTATGTCACCATCTCCTTTTCTTCAAATGACTTACATAATACAGAGGTTCCTTTTGGCTCCTTGGAGAACTATCATTTAATGTGTGTATGTAGCTGTGTATGTTTATGCTGTGTAGGTCTGTGTGTGTGGGGGCGGGGGTGTAGCCTTCACTATATTATCATTTTATATTACCTTTGACTGAGTCAGACAAAAGACCAGTACCAAAATGACTGTTTGGCTGAGTCCTATTTAGGTTCCTTTTTATTCCTATTCCCAATGCATTGTATCCACATTGGGAATAGCTGTCTCTTTATGGTGTGTAACTTACAATACAAAAATCTATATTGTCAGCCAAAGGAAAGAACCTTTCAATTGCCTTAGCTTATTACGTAGTTACATTTAACCCAAAATTTGACCATCATCTGAGAATAGAGGAGGAAAATGTAATAGGTAAGAGACGACAGTGCTGGAAGCAATTTCTATCTATAGCGTTAGCACAGGCAGTCAGAACTCTTGAATCGTAATGTTGTTTGATGAACTAATTTCTGGAGGGAGATCTGAGAATAACATCCTGGCAGAAATTCTTCCCAGTAAAACTGAACAAAGTATCTGGAGCTCCAAGTACTTAAAGCCTTTCTGGGAAAGAATTGAGAGTCTTGTGTCCGCTGGGTATTTATGTGTCTAGCGCTTGTGTAAAGCAACTGACGTGTCACGGTGCTGCTCGACCCGTGACTGAGCGACTCTTGCCGTGACGTGACACACTGGCCCTACTTCATGACGACAAGCACGTTGGGACGCTGCATGTCCTGAACAGGTTTTCTCTTTATTCTACAGTAGAAAACATGTTTCTGTGTCCCCTTTGCTTGCTTATCAAAAAACACGACTTCTACCTAGAGACCTTTTGTGGCTTCTGTATTTATTTACTACAGAAAATGCTTGACTACCTCAAGGAGAAAAAGGATGTGGGCTTCTTCCAGAGCCTTGCTGGCCTGATGCAGTCTTGCAGGTAAGTACTCTATTCCCTTGTCCTGGTTCTATTCAGTGGTTGTATAATTTCAAATTTCTGCTTTCCATTATCGGCGATAATTACTTGGGGAGTTGTTAGTAATGATGAAACACTTGCAGGTGGAATGATAGGGAGTTTCTCCTTTTTTTTTTTTTTAATCTTATTGTTAGGCATGATAGTGTTTTACTAACTTAATCATATTTTAAAATAGTATACTTTGTGCTTAAATAAGCATCTGAGATGGCTAATGTTTATTCTATAGACAAAAAACTGAGTGGTGCATGATTTTTAAAAGAGAATAAATAAATAACACTAGTTTATTTAGGAGCTGTGGACCATTTTTCATTTTTCTTAAAGAAAAGACCCTTAATGTTCATAAACCAACTAATTTTTGATGATTTTTTTTTCTGTTTTGCACAGTATTCAAAGTCATTTAGGCAGTATTTGACTAAGGAACCCAAAATGTGTAGTAGACTCAGCAATTCCAAGTGGAAAAACATGATTATTTTAATTATACTTCAGTTCTCCACAACGTCGTGACAGACTCCCTAAGTCGAAGCTATTAACGTTGGATGTTTGAATTCCACGAGGGTTACTTCTGTGTGGGCCTTGGGGAGAGACAAGTATGCCACTAGGAAAATGTTTTGGTAGAAATTAAATTAGGTTACACGTTCAGGGCATTTACATTTGATTCACATGTCAAGGCATGGCTTATAGGTGCTTGCTCTCCTGAAAAAAAGAATGTTTAATCCTCTAAATATCTTTCTCTCTGCTGTTGTAGTGTCCTTGACCTAAATGCATTTGAACGACAGAACAAAGCGGAAGGCCTTGGGATGGTGACAGAGGAAGGCTCAGGTATCAATCGCTGAGTTCAAGGCATCACCTGCCACCCACTACCCTGATCCCCGAAGGCAGTCAGTGCCCACTTACTCTTCAATCTAGAGATTTCCAGGGTTCTTTCGAAGTGACCGCCCTGCTACATGACACACTTAAGGTTGTGACTGGAAACTCCCGCAGGTTGCACCCAGAACCCAACCTCCCTCGCAGGTAGACTCGCGGCTCATTTGGGGCCAGGTAAAGATCTCTCACCACAATGATCTCATAAAAATTACAGCGACACAGATGAATCAAATTAGAGAATGCCTGGCTGTCTTTGCTCACATTAGCAGACGGTCAGACTTTCAGATTCCTCTGCCCACTTAGGTTTGCAGTCTTTTCAGATCCTTGACCAGCACCCGACGGTCGCCTCCTTTCCCACCCAGGCAGCCTTTCCCTGCACATAGTCTTTACCCGTCTGGTCTCACTCACTTGCTGAGAGAAATGAAAGCGCAATGTTTGTGTCTGCACAACTCTAATCACTTAATTTACACATACAGGAAATGAGTGACTCAATCTTAGTTTTTCTCTGTAAATAAATTGTGTGTGTAAACGAAAAACATTAGCACATGGTCATGTAAAGCAACAATGCCTGAACAAACTCGAGGAAACTGACCTTCCATATTTTTGGTTTGAATTCGTTCTTTTGTGTTTTACTTTTAGACTCCTTCAGTGTCAGTAAGTCTCTGTGTTTATCTGTTTTTGTTTAGTCTGGTTTCCAGTTGTTCTCCTAGCCACGTGCTCGTCTTGGAACACCGGGCATTCTACAGAACTGACTGTTGCACAGAACACGTTTTCTTCCAGCTTCCATTTCTTCCATCTTCTGTTTGCCTTTCTGCATTATTTTAAAGTTGACCAGTTTCTCTAATCATCTCTCTATATTTTTGTTCTCACAATAGCCAAAAGAATTAGCTGTCTGTTTCTAACTATATTTAAAACCTGTCACTTATATATACATTAATGCTGCTAATCGACATGACTTTGGTGTGACTTCACTTTCTGCTTAGGCCATATAGCAAATCATCTAATTTCAGTCATAGGATTTTTTAATTATATTAGAAAAATCAGTAGCAACACTTTGAATATACTTAGATTTTCTGAAAATGAGTATCAAGCCAAATAAGTCTCCTTTTACTAATGTCTGTGTCCTCAGTTGCAAGGGCCTTAGGGCCCCTCTGAAGAACTTAGCACCACTGCAGATCTTAAGGCTCATTACCTGCCCACCTCTAGCTCTTCATGGAAACCCTGGGCCTTTTCCAGCTGTAAGGTGCCTAAAAGTACATGAATTTTCTTTCCAAAGTCTGGTTCCCTTGTGATGGAATTAGAAATCAATTCCAGTTTGCCCTGCAGTATTCCCTAAGATTCTAGAAGCCTGGATATAGTTCTGTTGCTCATTCTTAGACTCTTTTCCCATCAACTCCCGTAAAGGGGCAGTAACCATACAGGTGTGTGTGTTAAGCCAGGTGCCTACCTGTGTCAGCTAGGTGGGCCGGAATGCCACATGAGTCCTACATCAGAAGTGACCTGGTGCTGGGGGCCTTCTGGCATGAGAGTCGTTACCTCTCACAGTGCAAGATTGGTTTGATTTTTTAATCTTTTTCACACACATCCAAAAATATTTACCTGAAGTGATTCACACGTTTTCTATTTTATTTCCTTACCAAAAGCAAAACCAAAACAGTCTTTCAACTTCTTTCTCTTTCCCCATTTCATTTTCTTCTGACTACTGTAAACGTTCTACTCTCCCTTCCTCAGTCATCACTCGCGAGCGTGGTAATTATTAAACATTAACCATCTTTTATTTCTTTGCTCCTTATTGTCAGCTTTCTGTAGTGTCTTGATAGTGACAATATTTTTTGGCGCATTTTTCCCTTTTATAGACCATTTTAGAAGTGTATTATTTAATGTCCTTGTTATGCATCCTGTTTTTATTTAATTAGTCATCAAGCTTTCTGTTCTTTTTTCGTCTTTCTACAAGGGTGTGCAGTTATTAACATAGTAGATGTGAAGGGGCTACGGGCATAATGATTATGTTTTGGGATTTGTTTTTTGCTGTTTCTTTGTTTGAAAACAATCCTGGTGGGACCCCCTGTTTGCAGCGGGGGTGTTTGTGGATGAATCACAGGGCACGTGGCAGTCTGCCTGTGGTGTTTCTGTCTTCGACATAGCTGTGGCTTTATGGCTGTACTGACCGGTGCATGGGATGTCAGGGGTCACGTGGACTAGACTTTGCCCTTCTCAGTCTTCTGCCAGCTAGTGGGTTCTGCCCCTTCCTATCCAGCCACTGAGAGGGCTACAGTTATCCTAGCCCTTGAAAATAACACACACTCAACAACTTGACAGGAAAACTAACTTTCATTCTTGAGACGCAACTCAAGGAACAGTAGAAAAAGCAAATATTTCTTCTTCAAACTAATATAAAAAAGATGTCATTGGGACTTAAAAGTAGTTTCTAAAAGACTTTATATAGGATGATAATCTAGAAAGGATGAGAAATTTGAGGGCCGCATACACCAACAAAGCATAAGTGGTTAGTTGTGCTGCTAACTCTGCCTGTTGCCATAATTAAAAAAAATCTCTGTCTTGCACTATTTGTTTTTTCCCCAAGATTTTATACAATTTAAGAAGTTTGTATCTCTAGAAGAGAAGGGATATTTATCATCCTTTTTAAAGTATCTAGAAAAATCTGAAAAATCTGAATCAGTGATACCATTTTTCCAAAGCTTAAGACTCAGACAGTACCAACTCAGAATTGAGAACATAATCTGACCTACATCTTCTCCATTCCGATCAGCTATTAGACTAAATCTCTTCCCAATGATAAAAACAAAAGATAACAGAATTTATGCCATGGAACTGGTATAATTTGGTAACATGAACTTTTGGAAACCCACAGCCTTCTAGTAAGCGAGATCCCCATTTTCAAGACAAGGAGACTGAAGGAGAGGAAGCTTATGTGGCCTGTCCATGCCTCCTAGTTTGATTTTCCATGAGCTGATTCCTTTCCTCTCTCTTGCATATTCTCTAGGGGCTTATTTTCTGCCAGTATTGGCTTAGATGTTTTGGATTTTTTTTTTTTTTACCACTTATTTAAGTTTGTTGCTCCCTTCAATGACTCCAATCTGTAGTCAATGCTTTGCTCTGCTCTCTGGGGCCTGAAAATCACTTTGGAAATTTCTAAGCTTCTTTAAAGTTTACATATAAAGATTTCAGATGAATCATTTATGTTCCATTTTCTCTCTGTTACTATCATGAACATTTGCCTATATCCTTGTTCCACTTTACTAAGTCTCCCCCACTGACAAAAGTCTGAGCCTCCAAGATGTTTAAAATTCAAACATTGTTCTTCAGCAAGTATTTGTGATAGGCTCGATGTTGTCCTCTCTGTATATGTTTAATCCTATGTGGTTCATTTTAGTGTATACTGAAGTTCAAAGCCAAAAACCTATATGAATACTTAAAATTTAACTCCATCTTTGGATTTTTAATTTTTTTTCTCAGAACCATTAAACCTCATTACTAAATCACTACAAAGCTTGAAAGTGCAACTTTCCTTCCTTCAAATAATTGGAGTAGAGTAGAATATATTATTTTTTATTTTTACAGTGTTCCTAGGCTTCCTAAACAAGATGAAAGTGTGAAGCTGATCTGAGTCCTCAGAAATTACTTGATTAAAAATTTTTACATAAAACATTCACTACCAATTAACCTAAATTTCTCTCTGTATCTTGGGTCTGTATCAAGGTCTTTCCTGAAATATTTATAGTGACCTCATCAAGTTTATGTGAAGTTGAAGCAAGAAGGAGCCTATTTTCTATTTGATTCATAAATGATAATCAAACCAACATTGACATAGTAGCTGCCCCCAAATCTTTGTTACTGGTTTTAACATTTAATTATTTAGTGACCATCTTCTACTCCAGAGTCCCAAAGTCCATTAACAAGCATCATCCAGTGCTGTGCAGTTCCTCTGAGTGAGCTTTCTCTGCATTGGAAGCCTACATTGCTCCTCATGGCACTATGTGGGATTTCTTAACATTCTTGCCCAGTATTTAAACTTTGACACACTCAATAAAAGTGGAGTGGCTGTTATGTGCTAGATCTTGTCCTAGATACTGGAGGTGTTTTAGGAGCTTAGCATTGTGGACAGCCTAGTAAGAACTTAGTGCAGACCAGTGCTCTCTGTATACGAAGTAATTAGCTGGTATCACAGCAGCAGTTCTGCGGTCTGAAAAATTGAGAATACGTGCTGTATGAAAGTTCTTTCTGTAATAAACTTTCAAACATTTATTGTTCAAAAAATATTTCCAGTAGAATTTACTACCATTAAAGCCTATGGATTTCTTATTTCTCAGTAATGCTGGTCTACCAGATAGCCACTGAGCTCTGCAAAAAGTCTTTCCACTGAAGGCAGAGATCAGTTAAGATGCTGATGAATGAAATGGATTGAAGATGTTAAGGATTTCAGATAGTGTAATGGCAAATGAAAGGCTTTAAAAGGACTCTATAAGAGAAACCCTCTGCACATCTGTTTTGAAAACTGGGACTTGTTTCTCTCTGTAGTTAACATATACTTAGTTTTGTTACATGTGGGACATAACCTCATATTGTGGTCATTTTCCTTGTCTTAGAAATCTGAAATAGGACTACATTGTATACATTGGTATACAATGGTCCCTAAATTTAAATGAATGCATTTAATGGAATTTATAAATATGTATCATACCCTGACCTACTGGAGAAGAGTCTGTATTTAAAACTGTAGGTCATTAGAACTTAGGACTTCATACTTTTGAAACTTCATATTTATTTCTATTAATTTGTCTGTTTCAAAGAAATGATACTTGTTTGAACCAACCTGATTTTCCTAACAGTCCTACCAAGTAAGGTCAGGAGATTGTTAATGGCCAGATCAAAATGATGAAATAAAACTTCAGAAAGGTCAACTGATTTTCCCAAAGCCACATACTACACATACTAGAAAATGGTCCTTGCACCTATTATTGATGAAAACAAGTGCACAAATTTATATATATATATATATAGTTACCAAGAATCTTATTGATTACTCATAGACTTTATGAAGTTTAGAAACTATGGCATCTGGGCTTTAGAAAGACTGTCTAGTGTTGTCTAGTGTTGAAGTTACTTGTTTATTGCCTCTCTTCCATTAGTCTGTGACCTCCTTGAGGTCATTTTTGGGACCATTAGTCTTTTTCCCCAGCCACTCTCAAGCATGTGAGAGACACTAAATGGCATTTACTGGATTCACACTCATTACCTGTTAATAGTATAGAACATTAGCCAAATAACTTACATTCTCAGTTGTTTGCTGAACCACAAATTGGAGTTCTTACCTATTCTATAAGATTATTCTAACCAACTGAAATGATGAGAAAATATATCTAGCACAATAGCTAGCATACTACGTGTTCATTGTAAATACATTTTAAAACTTTTATACTTTGTTAGTTGAATTATAATATAGGACATTAAGATTATCCACATAGAATCAAATACCTCTATACAAAAATCGGTAAATTTAAATCCTCTAATGATCAGTGACCAGAATCATTTGCTCCATGACAGTGGGGAACTCTTGAGATTTATTTAACAAGGAGTTATAGGACATTATTTGGCAGGGTCAGGCTTGTTTCAAACAGCTCAAATGTTTATCTTTGCCTTAGTAATGAGATTGACATGAAAAAAAAAAAACTTTACAACCGTGGATGATTTTAGTCTTCTGCCTTAACCCACGTATATACATGCATGTATACTGGTTAGTCTTGTCATGTATTTCATTACTTTTATTAACAATTATTGAGAATTCATTTTCAATTAATGTAATTGTTAAGAGTGAATAACAATTAAATAAAACTTTGGGGACAAAATTGAGATCTTTGAACTATGTTCATGATTATTCTAAGCATTAAAAGCAAACTTGTTTTTTTTTTGACCTTAAGCCAACATGTATTTTTTGTATTAATTGCATGAACTAGTTCAAATATAACAGTGACTTTTCACTGTGTATTAACTTTATTGTCGCTCTAAAACAGGACTTGCTTTTTCCTGAAGGTAGAATAAATTAGATCTGCATAATTTTACTCCTAGTGATTATTAATAGTATTTTGGTCCGTTAAAATTAGAAAGTCCATCGACTTTTGAAAGTATAAACACATTTAATAAATAGGCACAAGTAACTGTGTTCCTCACCTAGACATGTTGTTCCTGTCTATATTTTATGTTACTGCTACTGCTGTGAACAATATTAACCTTGCCACGATTTATCAAAATGCTCACAGAGATTTTGAAGAGCTGGTAGAAAATACACCTGTTTTCTCATTTTGTAGGTGAAAAGACTGAGGCTCAAAGGATGAACTCATCAGCAAGTGTATTAAAATAATTCTCCCTTTACCAACGATAGACATTTTAAGATCTTTCTATTAAAAAGGAAGCCAGATGTCCTCCCCAGTACCTACATTTGGCCATCACGCAGCTTTACAATTAATAAGGGTGCAAGAGCACTTTCCGCTACCTTCACTCCATTCCGCCACTTGTTAAGAACCTCACTTGCCATCTTACTTACAATGGAATTTCTTTTGCCTACATCACAAAACAGACCGCTGATCCTGCACCTCCTGCAGACATAAAGCCATCTCCATCTCTGTTACTGCACCACCCCACGCAGCATGGGCAATGGCAGCATTTTAACCAGGCAGTGGCGTGTTCGTCAAGCAGCAGCACCCTGTGCACCTGCTGTCCCCTGAGGGTCAGTGACCTGCCCCTTCCTCGGCCCTCCCCTACTGTCCTGCCCCATGCGGCGTGTCCTTTTGTCGGTGAAGTCCTCATGTGTGTCTCGGTGTTCAGTCAGGAAGGCCCGTGCATGCCGACTAGACCTGCAGCCCGGGTGACAGGCCATGGTGTTTTGTACGAGGGATACTAGGTGCACAGGTAGATGATGGGGTGTTCTTTTCAGTGTTGTCTTTTCGGAGTGCTTTCCAAAAACGGTTCCTGTCCCACATGGGCTATATAAATATTGAATGTACCTATGTGGTTTCTTGATTCAATTTTCTGAAAAAAACAAAACAAAGAAGAACCATTGTAGATGGCTCACTGTAAAGAATCTAAGTCTCTGGGAGTGAATCACTATTTTGTTTTAAATATGATTTCAAAAGACTCTTCTGGTTAAAAAAGCACACAGACGACACTAAGTATTGGCCATGAAGAGTTTGCTTGTCAGTCTGGAGTGTTTCTCCTCCTCCTCCCTACCTGTCGCGAATGTCAGCACTGAGCAGTGGACTCATCAGCCATGTTCGGAGATTCAGAATAATGCGCTTGGAAGCCTGACAGTTAAGCTGGACGCAGAGCTGATTTGTACACTCGGTGATTTCAAGTCCCGTCCCCAACTGTCCTACCTTACAGGCTAACAGGCAGCCAGCACAGTGACTTTATGTACCCTTTTAATGTTTGTATTAGTTTTCAAAATGGTTTTGCGTCCTAACCCTCCCATTATATGAAGCCTCTCACTTTGAAAGTCACAGACTTCAGTCTGGTAAGTCCGTCAGCTCTCTGTCGTCATGATTGTGCCATGATTTTAGTTAAAACACACACGTGATCACTGCATAGTTTTCTCTCTTAGCCCAAAGTCTTTCCAGTGAAGTCCCCTCACCCCAGTGATGCTGTTGTCATGTTGCTTTCTGCACAGTTTAGAGCACATACTCACAGTGCTGGTTTCTGTTCCGCGGCCACTCTGCTTTCAGAATCCACTTTCATTCGTGTCCAGCTGTTCTTTGCTTTGTTTCCCTCCTTGTGTTTTTGCTTTCCAAGGAACTTGTGATGTTGCTAATTTAAATTGCAGTAGAAGTAAAAGAGCTGAGCCCTTTTCCGAGGCTTCGCCATTGCCCTGCAAATAGATTTAGCTCGTACTGAAGCTGAGAAGCAGCCCTGGCTATGAGATGCCCCGTTTCCACTTTTCTTCGTTAGACTGAGTGCTCATAGCATGCACCTCCCAAGGCTTTCGTTTGGTTTGATTCATAGAAGGAGGTCTGCTTATCACTTCCCCCGCTGTAAGGTGAAACTCCAGCCAAGACATGTGAATTTTAGATTCTAACACCGTTTACTTAAAAAAAAAAAAAAAAAAGATACACAGGCACATAAGCTCATTATTGAATTGAATTAGTAAGTGTTGTCTAGGTGGTTACAGTTTTCACAAAAGCCGTGTAATTATTCGTTAGCAAAAAAGAAAAATAATAATAATGATTCTTAAAAAAAACTATTCCTGGCCCTGTTTTATCAGTGCAGAGTGCCTTTGCGTTGACTCATTGGGCCATACTCCGAGAAGTAAACACACTTAACTTTCGCATGTATAAGAGAGAAACAGATCACTCCTTCAATAGACTTTACCAAAAAAAAAAAAAAAAACATGTGGGAAATGTATTTTTCCTTTAAGAATATTGTTGTTGCCTGTGAAGGGGGAACAG